TCAATCCAAGTATTTTTTTATTTGTATTACTTGATTTATACTGAATAAAGATTACACAAACATACAAAATGGTGTTGGCTGTGTGACTGAATTCCTCGTTGAGAAGTGGTATCGGGTGTCCCATAGAGAAGAAGCAAACCCTCCTTGTGATACACTTGTGAACATTTTAAAAGACCCATTTCGCTGTGTTCCAGAAAAATCCCCATTATAGCTAGTGCATTACATGGTTGTTGTTGGGGGAAAGGTGGGTCTTTTCTATTGGCAATGATTTACTTTTTATAGGCCCACATTGAAATGTGGTCGTATATTGTCGTCGCCCCCCTTTTGCTGTTAATATCCGATTGACTTTAAATTTATACGCAGTGTTTAAGGTCATAAGACGAAGAAGCCTTTGATTTGCTCTGCCCAGGCAACGTTCCTGTGCTCCGATTGCCTTCAAATATGCACAGAATGTACCTTGGGATTCTAGCTATCACATATTAAAAATAGAAGAGTGTTGGATTCCGAGAACGTTCAAAATAAATTCAAAACCAATCAAAGGTTTTTTGCTTAAAAAATTGCCGTATTTTATCGAATTTTTATTGTTCTTGATATCTGAGGATTTTTCTCAATTTAGTATGTGATAAATATCATCGCGGCGCAGCCAACCGCTAGAAATTCCAGAGATTTGGATGCCTCAGCAGTCAAAAAAGGTCAAAATAGGCGATTTCGGTTTCTAGTGTCGATACATCGTTACGGTCATTTTAAAAAATTGTCTTTTAAGGATAATGTGTATAGTACCAGTACCTATCACATACGGAAGAGGCGATAAAATCTCTTTGCATTTGCAATTTCAAAATTAATTAAAACCAATATTAAATTCCGAAAATCGTTTTTTTGCTAAAACTTTTTTTTTTTTAATCGGATCAAAATGGGAGTAAGGCACAGAGTCCGGGGTGGTAATGGGCGTATTGTGTCCAAATTTCATGGTTTTCGGACAATCGGTGCCGGTGTCACGGCGAAATTCCACTTTTTTCCCCTCATGGAAGCCGTAAATTGACTTGAAGCCAGGGTCCTTGAAGTTGTACAGCTGCACCCGGTGACCGATATTTATTTAACGGGGAATAAGTGATAATTCATATTATAGCAGTAAATATACTATTCAAAAAAAGTAGGGGATATTTGATTTTTAAGTGTTATTAAAGTCACCTAATGAAACTGACGAAGAAACAAATGACAAAATGAAATGAAGTTCACATTCATCGATTTATTCCAAATGATCGTTAGACTAAGTAAGGCACAGACTGACCATTATAAGGGTAAAATGATACCCGGGGTCAAACAGCAAAGTTACCACAGCATCACAACCAAGTCAGTAACGGGTAAATCCTCCTCTGTTTGCCAAACAAGCATTGATCCGACGTGGCATACTCCTAACGAGACGTCTAAGGTCATTTTGGTCCAGATTGTCCCATTACTGTTGCAACGCAGCAGCAAGTTCTTGGACATTGGCAGGACGTTGTTGACGTTGACGTAACCTCTGTCCAAGCATGTCCCAGACATGCTCGATGGGGGAGAGGTCGGGACTCAGTGCTGGCCAAGGTAATGTGGTGATGTTCTGTTGTTGGAGGTAACCTGTAACGATCCTGGCCCTGTGACATCTTGCGTTGTCACCCTGGAAGATGAAACGGCGGCCATGACGTCGTGCGAACGGCACAACATGGACTGCCAAGATGTTGTCCCGGTAGTACTGGCCTGTAACACGCCCTGCAACAACATGTAAAGCCGTTCTTCCAGCAACAGTGATGCCTCCCCACACCATAACAAAACCACCCCCAAATCGATCATGTCTGATGACGTTAACGTCTTGGAAGCGCTCGTTTCGACGACGCCACACCCCCCTACGTCTGTCCAAAAAATCAACAGTGAACCTTGACTCATCTGAAAACATCACATTGCTCCAGCGTCGATTATCCCAGTGTTGACGATCCCTACACCAACGACGTCTTGCCTGAATGCGATGATCTCTCAAACAAGGGATCACGCGAGGACGTCGGGCGCGAAGGTGACCCCTATGCAGTCGATTCCGAATCGTCTGGCCACTCACTCTCACACCAGTGTCTGTTTGAAGACGAGCGCTGATCTGATTTGCTGTGATGACACGATTTCTCAAGGCCAAGGTACGGATAAATCGATCCTGGGCTTGAGTTGTCGCCCTTGGTCGACCTGAGCGTGGTCTGTCCTGTACAGATTGTGTATCACGGTATCTGGACCATAGCCTGCTTATGACAGACTGAGAAACATTCATCGTCCGCGCCACAACCGCCTGTGTTGTGCCGATCTGTAGCATGCCAAGGGCACGTAACCTTTCATTTTGGGTAAGCCGACGCATATCAAAATTTGTTTTCTGGTCACTAAAACAATTAAACTGATGTTTCCACCCTGGAATTCAATGCCACAATGACTGTAACATTCAAAGTCAGAGTCGTGCAAATCTTGGGTTGGACCCCCATGATGATCCCAAGCATCACATGCATTCCATGCGGTAGCTATTGTTGCGTTTGGGCGTCACATGTAACTGGAAATGTTTCTTCTGTTAGGTTCTATAGTGACTTTTTTCGTAGTCATTTGCATATTTTAGTATTATGCCCCCAAAATCAAATATCCCCTACTTTTTTTGAATAGTATAATTAAAATATTTCATAGGGATTATAATAATATCTATATCTTGTCTGGGTACAGGGTTAAAACCAATATTAAATTCCGAAAATCGTTTTTTTGCTAAAACTCTTTTTTTTTAATGGGATCAAAATGGGGGTAAGGCACAGAGTCCGGGGTGGTAATGGACGTATTGTGTCCAAATTTCATGGTTTTCGGACAATCGGTGCCGGTGTCACGGCGAAATTCCACTTTTTTCCCCTCATGGAAGCCGTAAATTGACTTAGAAAAAAAACGACGAAAGGCAGGTGACAAGAACAAACGACATGAACGAATGCAGGTATCACCTTGAAATTTTCAGGGTACCTAGGTACCAACGTGAAAAGTTGCTCGCCGGAATTTAGTACTCATGGTACCTTTGGTTCCAGCGTAGCGCATGCGCGAAGTCAAATCCAGCTTAACTCGAAAACAACCTTGTCGGCACGGAAAACATCAAAGGAGAAATTCGAATAAAAAATGATACAATGATTTCACACAACAGGCCAGCTATTAGCCTCTCGATTGACAAGAGTTTCATCGCCCTCCATTCATTATAACCAATGTCATCGTGCCCTAAAGAATCAACAAATCAGCTTGCTTATCTCTGCTTACCCTAGGCAAAAAATGCTCATCTTTGAACTCAATCATGACATTGACCTAGTGAACGCCTACACCAAGTTTGAACATTCTAGCTTAATTAGAAGGAGAGTTCTTGTGTTCCAAAGTCCCGGCCCTTCAAATTGCTTCTATTTTTCATTTTCAATTCAAAATGGTGACCATCACGTGACCGAAATCAAAATTCTGATCCGATAGATTTTTAGGTATTCCTTCCAGGATTCCGAAAATATGACGCCCGAGTCTGTAAGTAAAATAGCAAAAAAGCCTTTTTGATTTTTCACGTTTAAAGATGGTGGCACTTCCGGTTCGATCGACAAACTCCATATTTTGTGTACGAATCAGTAATTACTTGTCTAGTATCAAATTTTATTTTTAGGTCATTCTGACCTATATTTCGACGATTTTTTTTAAAACTTTGATCCTTAATTTCACCAAGGGGAGATAATTCAGAAAATTTCCAAGGACATCATTGAAGTCGCATTGGCAAGATCTACTAACATTCTAAATTTCACGAAAATCGCACAACTATTAAAGAAGTTGTCAAATTGGTAATAACTTCCGGTTCGAAATGACAGCGACGAATTTTCGAAATGCCAAAATCCGAAATTGCAGATTTGAAGTAAATGTTTCAAGATACTCAAAGAAAAAAGAATTAGTAAAATAGGTCAAATAGTCACAGAGTTACAGCATTGTAGGTCAAATGCATTCCTTCGTAAAATTCGGTGATTTCGGATTCGTAAAACGTTTTGAAAATATATTTAATCAACAGCCACCACCCATTTTTGGGGGGATAGGTAAAAGTTTCAGAACGATCCTATGGTTAGATTCTGAGAAATCCGATTTGTGGACAAAACACAAAAAAAAAATAACAATAATAATCTTAACAGAAACAATAAGCTTTCATATGTAATATGAAAGCTTAATAACAATAATAATCTTAACAGAAACAATAAGCTTTCATATGTAATATGAAAGCTTAATAATCTTAACAGAAACAATAAGCTTTCATATGTAATATGAAAGCTTAATAATCTTAACAGAAACAATAAGCTTTCATATTACGAAACAATAAGCTTTCATATGTAATATGAAAGCTTAATAATCTTAACAGAAACAATAAGCTTTCATATGTAATATGAAAGCTTAATAATCTAGAAACAATAAGCTTTCATATGTAATATGAAAGCTTAATAATCTTAACAAAAACCCTAATGAACTTTATATCAACTTGAAAGAACTGCTTTCCGGCGACTATTATAGACAATAGATCTATGTCCTACCGGCACTAAGAAGTATTAAAATACAGATGTGACGTCATCCTTTGATGTTGGGGTACCATTTTTTCAAATAATTGTACGTGCAATGCGCCAAGCGTAACTTGGTAAAATATTGAACTCGAGTGACGTATTTCATTGCAAAGCACGTGCAAGTGTCTGTATTTTAAGTTGTTTAATGGTCTCGAGCTTAAGACATTGCGTAATATATTGTAAAAACATTCGGACCTCACGGCCCTCATTTTGTTACAATATATTACTTATAATGTCTCGCTCTCGACCATTAAACAATACGTACTATAGTGGTTTTTTTGTACGTTTAGGGTATAGATATCGACCAATTTTGGAAAATTTGTATGAATATCAGTAAAATTCTAATTATCGCAACAAATCCAATACGAAGAGGCTAAAATCTGTAGATACGGTGTGTTAATTAAAAGTGGGGGAGAAATTGACTGATAATCTCTGCGTCGGTGCGTTTTCTGTACTAGGTGTGTTAATTAACGGACGGGTTAAAAACGACTGACACAGTGTGTATTCTTTGTATGGTGAGTTTTCTCGAAAGCGTACGTGTATTTACATATTATCGTGCGTACCACTGAACAATAAAGAAATGTATCTTAAAATTGATCACAAGCAGTATCGTTATTTACCGATATCCGGACCAACCTCCATTGATATCAAACTAACGAATCTGTTTCGAAAGCAAGTTTATGCGTGGTTTAATGGTCGAGAGTGAGACATTAAAGGACAATATTGGTGTCAGTGAATATTACATATGCGATAGAATAACTTAAAAGATTCCAAAGATAATTTTTAAGTAAACCGCAATAGCACCGTTTAGCAGTGACCTCCACCTATTCAAAACGGAATTGACGTACCTCAAAGGAAAACAAACATTTTTTCATTGGAAGCTCAAGCAAATGTAGTTTGTTTTGGTCAGTATAAGACTGTGATTGTAGATTTTCTCACTGAAATGTATTGTTGTTGTGTACCGGGATGTTCACATTCCACTTTAACTGTGAAACTTGGCATTCCTTTTCACAATTTCCCAAAAGATCCAGAAATAAGACGACGGTGACTTGTCAACATGAGAGCACAGAACTATCACGTATGTGGCAAACACTTCAAACCAAGTGATTACGAATGTGAAACAAAGCATTTGGTGGCACCTCATCTATTTAAGAAAAGAAATAATTTGAAAAAGACAGCAGTTCCCACTCAATTTTCCTTCGAAGAATGTCAAACAAGTATGATCTTTTAGAGGCATTTAGTAACTGGATAGAGCAATAAACTATAACACATACGATGTAAGAACAATTACTGATTTATTTGGGCCACGTTTCGAAGAGTATTCTCTCAACGTTTTCAAGCAAGTACAGTAACAAGTGTGTAGAGCAATTATATATAGACAAGCAATAACAACAATTCAGAAACCATGCATGACAACAACAAGATCAAAGGATTAAAAAACAACATGATCAAAGGCAATATACGTATGACAAGTAAAGGTAAGTCATTTATAGGGGCTATAGTCATACACAGCCCAATATTATACTGTCCCTGAAAATGTAAATAGGATAACAGATAGACTCAGTTTTGTTCATTGATTCTTACAAACATTAAAACTTATTTCAAATTTTGAAGGGGGTTGTATCAAAAGGTCTGTCATTGAGTCAACTGGCGTGTTTTGATTCCCCGGTTGTACGTGACAAGTAGTAGGGTCGCCTGTCCAGTGATTTCCGATAATTACTGCCAGAGTTATGGCCCTTGATCACTTTGAAAAATCTTGTGACGCTCTGGAGGCTAAAGTTATCATCTTATTGACTTCAGATTGATACACAGAGTTTAAGATCTTGAGACGAACAAGTATATTGATTTTCAATTAATTTTTATGACTTGAACAGCTAAATCCATGATATTAAAAGTTTTGTATACTAAACGTTAGCATGGGGCAGAACTTTATAAAAACCAAACAAATTCTAATGGTTTTCTGATAATTACTTCATGAGTTGTTACTCTTAATCAGATTTTAATGTATTATAAATGTTTCATTACCGAAAGAAGTAAAAATATGCGACAAGACTTGTTGACTGCCCGGACGATTTAGCTGCTGTGGGCGTATGTTATGGTTTCTTGAAGGGAACTAGTAATTGCAGGCACATTCTTTTGTTCAGAAAGTCCCCACATTCTGTTTGATTATTCTAGGTTGATATTCAATTACATGGATATTTCTGAAATAACTGATTGTGTTTTGCCAATAAAAATATAAACATATTAGGTCTACTTTATTTTCATTCTTTTCAAACATTTTTTCTTCAGGTAAGCTAAAGTCTACTTTTGCAACAAGTAGGCCTACATGTACTGTTACTAGTAAATGTGCCGATGAGACAACACCTCAAATTCAGTATGTGAGAAGTGCCTATTAAAAGAGGGAAAACTTAAGAAAATGTACAGAAGAAAAAACTGTTGTAGATCTAGTAGGTTATGAAAATAATTTTTTAATTAATAAACCAAATCTTAATGGTCAAATCTACATTTAATCAATTCTTTTGATTTCTGAGTTTGATAAATAAAATGCCAATGTATCATCACCCAAAGAATTACATGTGCAGAAGGCTACTAGTACTAGAGTTTATAGCATAGGATTAGTTATATTTATATAAATATCCTGGGGTAGCTGTAAAAAAATGAAAGTTTTCTACATGCATGTATTGGAAATCATGGTACGCTCAATGCAATCAGGGGAATGTAAACATGTTGGTAAGGTGTTATCTCAGATATTATTCATAACTGTTTGTGTTTCATTGTAAGATAATTTTCCTATTCATTACTTGTAGAACCTTTACCTGTCTATGTAGCTTTCATTGAGACTATATAAACCAATATATACTGACTTTTTAAATTTAATTTTCAGGAACAGAGTAAGCCATTACCGTTACCTCCAGTTTCAAAACTCCTTAATGATCCACCCACAAGCAGTCATTCTCCAGCCCTGTAGCCAGTCATTCATCTCCTTTGTGGCAGCCCACTTTTGACACATCTTTAGATTCGGAGTTTGTTGAGTCAGAAAGAGAAATATTTTCTGACCCGACTGAGCAGAGTAAAGTTAGTATTAAGATTTTATTACAATTTTACACCCATTTTAGGCAGCATACACCAAATGAAAAGCCGGGTCTTCAGAAGGGGGATGCTGGAGCCCCCGTCCATCTCTACCCCTTTAAAAACCAGCGGCAGTCAGTCAGGATACGCCCGCATTTTGCAAGAGATGGATAGAGAACAAGCTAAAAACAAACGCGATTTTTTGTACAATCAGGGGCAATAATCCAGAGAGTTATTGCCTGAAATGTGCAAATATCAAAAGGGACCGAGATCTTTGAGATATAAAGATAAGTTTTAATCGGATAAAAATTGTGACCACTAGAGGGTCCACAACCTTTGTATTACACACTTCTACACAATTTGCGTACAAAGAGCGGCCATTTTGTCGGGCAGATTCATTTTGATTTTCCCGAAATACGAATTCAACCTTCAATATAGTGGAATGGTGATGTATTTAAACGGTTTTTAAAATCAGAAAAAAATTGTGACCTCTAGAGAATCTGCAAGCTAAAAATGTGATTTTTCGAACAATCAGGGCCATAATCCAGGAAGTTAAGTTCGGATATCCGTGATTATGAAAAGGAACCAAGATCGTTAGTGTGTAATGGTGATATATTCACACTTTTTTTTTAAATTGGATAAAAATGTGATTTTTTGTTCAATCAAGGGCCATAATTCAACCTTCAATATAGTGGAATGGTGATGTATTTAAACGGTTTTTAAAATCAGAAAAAAATTGTGACCTCTAGAGAATCTGCAAGCTAAAAATGTGATTTTTCGAACAATCAGGGCCATAATCCAGGAAGTTAAGTTCGGATATCCGTGATTATGAAAAGGAACCAAGATGTTAGTGTGTAATGGTGATATATTCACACTTTTTTTTTAAATTGGATAAAAATGTGATTTTTTGTTCAATCAAGGGCCATAATTCAACCTTCAATATAGTGGAATGGTGATGTATTTAAACGGTTTTTAAAATCAGAAAAAAATTGTGATCTCTAGAGAATCTGCAAGCTAAAAATGTGATTTTTCGAACAATCAGGGCCATAATCCAGGAAGTTAAGTTCGGATATCCGTGATTATGAAAAGGAACCAAGATGTTAGTGTGTAATGGTGATATATTCACACTTTTTTTTTAAATTGGATAAAAATGTGATTTTTTGTTCAATCAAGGGCCATAATTCAACCTTCAATATAGTGGAATGGTGATGTATTTAAACGGTTTTTAAAATCAGAAAAAAATTGTGACCTCTAGAGAATCTGCAAGCAAAAATGTGATTTTTCGAACAATCAGGGCCATAATCCAGGAAGTTAAGTTCGGATATCCGTGATTATGAAAAGGAACCAAGATGTTAGTGTGTAATGGTGATATATTCACACTTTTTTTTTAAATTGGATAAAAATGTGATTTTTTGTTCAATCAAGGGCCATAATTCAGGAAGCTAAAAATGTGATTTTTTGTTCAATCAAGGGCCATAATTCAGGAAGTTACGATCAGCTATGCGCGAATATCGAAAGGAACCAATATCTTTGGGTTATAAACATGCATTTAAAGTTTCATCGAAATCGGATCAAAATTGTGACCTCTAGAGGGTCCACAACCTTGATTTACCAGATGTTTACACTATTTGCTTACGAGGGGCGGCCATTTTGTCTGGCAGTTTTGGCCAGATTTTCACGAAATTCGAACTTAACAAATATTACGGTGTAACGGTGATATATTCAAACGTTTTATTAAACCGGATAATAATTGTGACCTCTAGAGGGACCACAAGCTAAAAACTTGATTTTTCGAACAATCAGAGGCCATAATTCAGGAAGTTACAATCCAATATGTGCGAATGTGGATCAAAATTATGGCCTCTAAAAGGTCCACAACTTTGATATATCAGATGTTTACACTATTTGCGTATGAGGGGCGGCCATTTTGTCCGGCGGTTTTGGTACAATTTTCATGAAATTCTAACTCAACCAAATATTACGGAGTAACAGTGATATATTCGAACGTTTTTTTAAATCGGTTAATAATTATGACCTCTAGAGGAACCACAAGCTAAAATGTGATTTTTCGTACAATCAGGGGCCATAATTCAGGAAGATACAATTCGATATGTACGAAAATAGAAAGGAACCAAGATATTTGGGTTATAAACATGTGTTTTAAGTTATATTCCACTATAGACCTTCGGGCTTCTCCAATTTATGATTGCATGTTTCTTGTGACGTCACTAGAATATGCACTAAATTCAACGTTTAAAGTAAACAAAACTCACACGTGCGTGTATATATAACAATCATGTGTACCCAGATAGGGTATATAAACAGTAATGTAGCCATCATCAATGTCTTTTTTCTTGTTGAACCTAGACCTTTGCACTACGTTCCGTTGGTTTGTATTTCAGAATTGCTGATTCGTTTACCCTTTATCATCCATATTATAGCTCTTTATCATTGTTGTAAGCAATCGTGGACTAATCGTTGATTTGTCCCTTATTTTTTTATTGTCTTATCGCTATCAATCTGTTGGGTTGATAATTACATTGTATTCAGCAGATATGGATAATTTTGAAGATGGTCACGTACCATCTAATAGCAATGATCTAATAATCGATTATGATCCTCTGGATCTTAATAATTTTGATTTTGGTGACAACCTCAACCATCAATCGTCCAATGAAAACACGGCTGTCGTCAGCAATGTTACTGTAGGTTTCCCCGGAAATAGTATTGCCAAGAAAGAATGTAAACAAACCCCGTCGAATACAAGAAAACGAAAGGACGGTAAAATTACATCTATAAAGACGATCAAAAATCCCAAAAGTCGCAAAATTGAGGGTGATTTAGTTAGTGTGATTGATCCGACTGTTGTTGAGTCGTCTGAGAAGATCGCACCCAGAATAACTATTAAAAAAGCTGCAAATATTGTCAAGGTCACTCAGCGTAATACTAATACCCATACTGCATGCAGCGACCCATCTGCGTCATACTTCCCAGAATGTGACACTGCACTGATTACCCGCCATTTAAAACGTTCACGTGATCATTTTGGGGCGGGACTTATCGACTATACAGCGTTTTGTTTAGACAACAGAGTAAAAATAACCAAGCACGTGTGTTTTATGTAAACACGCCATGTCGCTGACACTCGCGTAAAAGCGATATATAATATGTGGTATAGGTAATATTGCAATAAATTCTTTACCATTGTAAACTGTCTTTAGAGTTTCAATCTGTTTATCTTTCAAAACAAGGTTAGATACTCCTAAGTTTGTTTTCGCAAACAAAACCGCCTCTGTGAAATTATGTTTCATGGGCGCCGCCATATTGAATAATAAGATGACTATTTTGTGATTCGGCTTTGATTAGTTTGACACCTTTCATACACACAGCGGCTAAATAAACATATTTAATTTCATTCAATATGATAATAGAAGAGAAATAAATACTTTTAAAAATTTCTAAAAGCATACTCGGTGTTTTCGACTAAAATCGTCAATGTAGGAATTAAAATGTCGGTAAATTAGCTTAGGGCCTATTCTCAGCCGGAGCTAGCTGTAGATAGGCAGCCTAAGTTTGGGATGACTAATAACAAGCAATCTAACACTAGTAGTTGTCATACTAATGTTTTGGGCTCTACTTTTAGGAAAAACAATCTTAGGCCTGCACCTAGTGCTACTGTCACAAGCAATCCTATTAATCAGCATATTGATATTCCTGTACCTATTTCTAGTTTTGGTTAATATCTGCCGGTACCTCATTATGATGCACCTAACAATAATAATAATGTTGTCATTGATAGGACCGAAATTTGATCAAATAAAACAGAGTCTGCCAGCTGTAAATGAGATTTTATACGCCCACATTTTCATGTGGACGTATATTGTCGTTGCCCCTGTCCGTCCGTCCACAATTTGTTTGTGGACACTCTACAGGTCACAATTCTTATCCGATTTTAACGAAACTTGAAATATAGGTTTATCCCCAAAAGATCTCGGCTGCTTTCGATATTGGCATGTATCGGATCAAAACTTCATGGATTATGGCCCCTGTTTGTACGAAAAATCACGTTTTTAGCTTGTGGACCCTATAGAGGTCACAATTTTTATCCGATTTTGTTGAAACATGAAATGTAAGTTTATAACCCAAAGATCTCGGTTCCTTTCGATATTTGCGCATATCGGACCGTAACTTCCTGAATTGTGGCCCCTGATTGTACGAAAAAATCGCGTTTTTAGCTTGTGGACCCTATAGAGGTCATAATTTTTATCCGATTTAAAAAAAACCTTATTATTATATCACCGTTGCACCCTAAGGACGACTGAGTTTGAATTTCGTGAAAATCGGCCCAAAATTGACAGACAAAATGGCCATCGTTCGTTCTCAAATTGTGTAAAAATATGGTATATCAAGGTTGTGGACCCTATAGAGGTCACAATTTTTATCCGATTTTGTTGAAACTTGAAATGTAAGTTAATAACCCAAAGATCTTAGTTCCTTTCGATATTCGCGCATATCGGACCGTAACTTCCTGAATTATGGCCCCTGATTGTAAGAAAAATCGCGTTTTTAGCTTGTGGACCCTATAGAAGTCATAATTTTTATCCGATTGGTATTATTATATCACCGATACACCCTAAGGATGACTGAGTTAGAATTTCGTGAAAATCGGCCCAAAATTGACAGACAAAATGGCTGCCGTTCGTTCTCTAATAGCGTAAAAATATGGTATATCAAGGTTGTGGACCCTATAGAGGTCACAATTTTATCCGGTTTTGTTGAAACTTGAAATATAAGTTTATAACCCAAAGATCTTGGTTCCTTTCGATATTCGCGCATATCGGACCGTAACTTCCTGAATTATGGCCCTTGATTGTACGAAAAATCGCGTTTTTAGCTTGTGGACCCTATAGAGGTCATAATTTTTATCCGATTTAAAAAAAAACGTATTATTTTATAAACGTTACAGCCTAAGGACGGCTGAGTTCGAATTTCGTGAAAATCGGCCCAAAATTGACAGACAAAATGGCCATCGTTCGTTCTCAAATTGTGTAAAAATATGGTATATCAAGGTTGTGGACCCTATAGAGGTCACAATTTTGATCCGATTTTGATGAAACTTGAAATCCATATTTATAACCCAAAGATCTTGGTTCCTTTCGATATTCGCACATATTGGATCTTAACTTCCTGAATTATGGCCCTTGATTGTACGAAAAGTCGTGTTTTTAGGATCTGATCCCTCTAGATGTCACAAATTTTATCCGATTTAAAAAAACGTTTGAATATATCACTGTTACACCCTTATGATGGTTGAGTCTGAATTTCGTACAAATCGGACCAAAACTACCGGACAAAATGGCTGCCCATCGTACGCAAATATTGTACATGTGGTATATCAAGGTTTTGGACCCTCTAGAGAGAGGACACAATTTTGATCCGATTTTGATGAAACTTGAAATGCATTTTTATAACCCAAAGATCTTGGTTCCTTTCAATATTCATGCATATCAGATTGTAACTTCCTGAATTATGGCCCTTGATTGTACGAAAAATCACTTCTTTTTTGAGCTTGTTCTCTGTCCATCTCTTGCAAAATGTGGGCGTATCTTGCATGGCAACTGCTTGTTATAATTCAATTTGGGGGAACAAGAAGTTTATGTAAATAAATCAGATACAGGCCCATCTACTTCTTGTAATGCAACTGAGACGTATGATGATTATGCCAATGAACCAGTATTAGATATCGTTGACCCGCAATCTATGTATGACGAATTCCAAGAGGAACCGTCTGAATCAGATTCCTTTGATGTGCCTAAAATATTTCAGGGTGATGACTTTTATGGCAAGCCCGTTGGTGATAATTTGGTTAATTTAGTCAATATTGTGACTTAAAAAAAAAATACAAGTTAACAAATTGGTTACAAAATATCCAATCCCTGAAAATTGTAAGAGGTTACAACCTCCTCTGGTTGAACCTCATATTTGGCAGGTATTACCCAGGCCTGCTCAAGTGCAGGATAGTTCACTACAGGAGGTGCAAAAATTAATAGGCCTTGGCATTGCCCCTTTACTGGGTTTACTTCCCAAGTCTAATAACCAGGGGCCTGTTTCACCAAATTTTAACTAAGATAAAATCCAAATTTGAGTAATTTGATTGGATAATATTAGACTGATTTTAGTGCTTAGCCAATCAAAATTGAAGTATCTACTACAATTTGGATTTTATCTTTAGTTAAAATTTCGTGAAACAGGCCCCAGGAATTTAAAAATACCCTGGTGGATTCTATTATAGTATATTAGAACTTTCGCTTAGACGTCAGATATTTCTTAAGAAATTTATGAGTAGACATTATCACCCTCTTTGCTCAACAACAAGACCTGTAGGAGAGACACTTTTTGGGCCTGATGTTGCCAACAGAATGAAGGAGATTGATCAATCTAATAGATTTTCATCCTCTCTCAATATGTCAGGACGTTTAAATCCCAGGTCTAATAGAAGATCTTTTTTAGGACAAGGTTTCCAGAACAGAAGACCTCAGGATCGGAGAGGAAACTTCAGGGGAAGACCCTACACAAGCTGGGGAAGAGCACGAGGAAGGGGTCAAAGACCATTCCAAAATCAATTTCAACAATACAAATAAATAATTCAATAAGTACTGATTTTACTGCTGGTAACATATTTTGGAACTGGGGTAATTTAACTTCTGATCAATGGATTCTTGATATTGTACAAGGCTATCAAATAGATTTTATATCGAAACCAGTTCAGTTTTCCATTCCTGGTTCACCTCCCTTTGATGAGGAGCAAATGGATGCTGAAGTTTAGACTTTGCTAGCAAAAAGCGCTATTGTTCCTGTCTTTAGGTCTGACTCTGACCAATTTATATCAAATATTTTTTTAGTAGAGAAAAAGAATGTATTGTCGTCGCCCCGTCCGTCCGTCCGTCGTCCACAATTGCTTGTGGACGCTCTAGAGGCTAAAGTTAATATCCGATTGACTTTAAATTTATATACAGTGTTTAAGGCCATGAGACAAAGAAGCCTATTGATATTCAGCGATTTCTGTTAATTACTGCCAGAGTTATGGCCCTTGATCACTTCAAAAAATCTTGTGGACTCTAGAGGCTAAAGTTAATATCCGATTGACTCTAAATTTATACACAGTGTTTAAGGTCACGAGACAAAGAAGCCTATTGATATTCAGCGATTTCAGATAATTACTGCCAGAGTTATGGCCCTTGATCACTTTGAAACATCTTGTGGACGCTTTAGAGGCTAAAGTTAATATCCGATTGACTTTAAATTTATACACAGTGTTTAAGGTCAAGAGACGAAGAATCCTATTAATTTTCAGCTAAATCCATGATATTAAAAGTTTTGTACACTAAACGTTAGCATGGGGTATAACCTTATAAAAACCAAACAAATTCTAATGGTTTTCTGATAATTACTTCATGAGTTGTTACTCTTAATCAGATTTTAGTGTATTATAAATGTTTCATTACCGAAAAACGTAAAAATATGTGACAACACTTGTTGACCGCCCGGACGCTGTGGGCGTATGTTTCGTTGCCTGGCAACCTATCTTTTAAATCTAGCATACCTAAAGCAATCATCACATACATGTACATGCCAATCATGAACATTCCCTATCTAGACAGTAAAGTTACACTTTTGCACAGTGATGAGTGTTGTGCATGGGCAGGGTATGCCCACAATATCACTATTACACAAACCCTGTTGGCAACTTTACAAATCTACACCGTACCAACCATGGAGGTGTATATATTGACTAGAGTGTATGGTGGTCACGTGATAGTGTGCCGACTATGGAGGTCGGCAGCCATTTTACAACAGGGAAGATTTAGCCTACGTTGGCATATATCAACATGCCGGAGAGTTGTTGTTGTTTTGGTTAATTCAGTGTCAGGCAAAAAGGGAGTGGATTATCATTTCATAAGTAGGTAAGAAATAGTGATCTAATAGATATAGTATAATCATGATAATTGTGTAAAATAATTTAATAAACACGGCGCGGGCGAAAAGACGTCGAACACTGGAAGTTTGAGGCCGAAAACCGGGCGGGTCTATATTATTAGTACTGATACTTTTATTATGTATTAATTACAAGGTCCGTGCGTTTAGCGAACTTCCAAATTAATGTATATTTAATTATTATGGAAATTGCGCATATTATATATATATATACACACATTTTGCATTGTACGAAAAATATCGCGGGGAGTAAGTCTACTTATTGGAGTGAAGTGTTTAGTCACAGACATGCACTCACTGGCCAGTAGTTGCTTTGCTATCGGTTAGTTTTACTCCCTCGGATTTAGGCCGACATTCATTGTGTACACATATGTACAGAATAAAGTGAAAGTTTCTTGCAATATTTATGTTTTGTTTTTTTTCTTCTTCTTAAAACCCCCGAAATAGTTTTAAAAAAAAAATGGTTAATAATAAGTAATCTTGATAACTTCATTCCCAGTCAAATTTTGTAAAAAAAAAAAATAGGCCTGATAATGATATTTTTTTTAATCGCTGCTACTACGAAAATCTTATTAAATATGATTAGGTTAGTCTTATTTTTTTGTAAAATTTAATATACCGCCGTATTTTTCAACAAAGAAAAATCAGACACCAGATCATGGAAATTGAAAACCATATAGCTAGGCCTACTAAGGCCTTGCTAGGCGTGTTTATATTTTCCTTTTTTTAAAAAAAATATTTCCAATCGGCATCAGATATTATTCTACTGGTAAATGATAGAAGTCATAGATTATTTTTAAAATCGATTTTATTTCTTTACATAGTTTAGTTATCTGTCAATCAATGAAGCAGTCCTTTCATTGTGCTCAATTAATAAAATAAACATGATTTCGTCAGTTCTGCATTACAATTTACACCATGGATGGTGACCATGCCACGGTATTCATGATGATGATGATTATGATAAGAGTTATTCTTAATAATAAAGCCCCAAAAATATGCCAGTTGACCAAAACGATTTTGTTTTTAGGACAGTAAGGTAAGACCTTTCAATCATCATTTTTTTGGTTGATATTGTTGAATTAGAACTGCTTTTTTAATGGGCTTGTCCGCCCTCCGTCAGTCTATTTCCCTTTGTTTACATAACGTTCATCCGGGCACTTCCGTGATTCTTTCCCGTTTGAAACATGGCGGCCAGTCTCCAGTGACAGCCCACAGCGTTAACGTTACGTCAATGGGGATCACGTGACCACAATACACTCTAGTCAATATATACACCTCTATGGTACCAACCCTTCTAGAAGACATGTATATTGTACATCTGTGAATGGATGTGATTCATGTATGTCAGCATCTAATTAACTAGAACATCTGATAGCAATTGCCATTGGAAAGTTTGCAAATAATTCTGGATGCTTTACTCATGTACATGTATATTGATGTTCAAATATAGAATTTGTTGGATTTAGAAAATGAATTGAAAAATACACCTTTACATTATTTATTTTTCAGAAATATAGGAATACTTGTCTAATGAATGCCAGGAACTGAAATGTGATTTAGGATTTGTTGACTTTAATATAATAACAGGTGGGTATAACAAATTGTAAATAATGTTGATTATTCCATTTGATGTACATGTAATGTGGTCGTATATTGCCGTCGCCCCTGTCTGTCCACAATTTCTTGTGAACACTCTACAGACTACATTTATCATCTGATTGTTTTGAAATTGATATATGTTGTTTGCATTAGTGAGATGAAGAAGCCTATTTAATTTCAATAACTTCCATTAATTTCGTCTGTTTGAAATTTATATGCATCATTTAAATTAGTAAAACAAAGAAGCCTATTGAATTTCAGCAATTTCCATTAATTACATCAAGAGTTATGGCCCTTGTTTCACTTTGTTGAATCTTGTGAACGCTCTAATGACAACCGTTATCATCCGATCTGTTTGAAATTGATATGCATCATTTAAATTAGTGAAACGAAGATGCCTATTGAATTTGAGCAATTTCCGTTTATTACGTCGTGAGTTATGGCCCTTGTTTCACTTTGTTGTACCTTGTGAATGCTCTAACGACAAAAGTTATTATCCGATCTGTATGAAATTTATATGCATCATTTAGATTAGTAAAACAAAGAAGCTTATTGAATTTCAGCAATTTCCGTTAATTACATCTAGAGTTATTGCCCTTGTTTCACTTTGTTGCTTCTTGTGAACACTCGAACAACAAAAGTTATCAACCGATCTGTATGAAATTTATATGTATCATTTAAATTATTAAAAAAAAAGAAGCCTATTGAATTTCAGCAATTTCCGTTAATTAGATCTAGTGTTATGGCCCTTGTTTCACTTCGTTGAATCTTGTGAACGCTCTAATGACAACAGTTATCATCCGATCTGTTTGAAATTGACATGCATCATTTGAATTATTGAAACGAAGAATCCTATTGAATTTCAGCAATTTCCTTTAATTACGCCGTGAGTTATGGCCCTTGTTCACTTTGTTGTACCTTGTTTATGGCCCTTGTTCACTTTGTTGTACCTTGTTTATGCTCTAACGACAAAAGTTATTATCCGATCTGTATGAAATTTATATGCATCATTTAGATTAGTAAAACAAAGAAGCTTATTGAATTTCAGCAATTTCCATTAATAAGATTTAGAGTTATGGCCCTTGTTTCACTTTGTTGAATCTTGTGAATGCTCTAATGACAACAGTTATCATCCGATCTGTTTGAAATTGATATGCATCATTTAAATTAGTAAAACGAACAAGCCTATTGAGTTTCAGCAAATTTCCGTTAATTACATCTAGAGTTATGGCCCTTGTTTCACATTGTTGAATCTTGTGAACGCTTGAACGACAAAAGTTATCACCCAATCTGTATGAAATTCATATGCATCATTTAAATTAGTGAAATGAAGAAGCCTATTGAATGTCAGCAATTTCTGTCAATTATTTCTAGAGTTATGGACTTTGTTGAACCTTGTGAACGTTCGAACGACAAAAGTTATCATCGGATCTGTATGAAATTGATGTGTATTATTTGAATTAGTAAAACGAAAAAGTCTGTCGAATTTCAACAATTTCTGTAGATTACTTCCAGAGTTACAGCCCTTGTTTTAGTTTTTAGAACCCTCAAACGACGAAAATTATAATGTCATCTGTATGAAATTGTCTATTAAATGCCCCTTAATTACCTACAAAAGAACAAATATATGACAACTCTTGTCAACCGCTCGGACAATTTAGCTGCTGTGGGCGTATGTTTAGTTGCCTAGCAACCTATCTTTAAGTAAATTGGGTGGCCGAAAGTTTAACGCGTGCACATTTGATAACAAGGTCTGTCTGTCATTGAGTCAAGGGGCGTAGTTTCAGTTCTCTGCTTGTATGTGACAGGCAGTAGGGTTGCCTGTCCAACCTTGTGGGTTTTCTCCAGGTCCTCCCACTGCTAAAGACACCAACACGCTAGCTAATTATTGAAATTATTCCCGAAATGACCTAGTTTGTATCCAGAGGACATTAAACCTCTCTCGCTCTGTCGATCTCTTACACACAAATAATACATTCATCATTATGGTATAACTATATATATACATGTAATAAGCCTTAGTATACATTCTAATATAGCATTCAAGTCATAAAAAATCCCCCCCTCCCCCCCAAAAAAGGCTGCTATTATTGTAATTAGATGTCATATCAGGAATATGAAGGCTTTTTGTACAATGTAGCACACTATGTTAAATGCAGTCACATTCATAGCTTTGTGTACCTCATATCATAGGGGCAATATTGCTGTTCACTGTGCCACACATACATCTGCAGTGAAAGTAGTGCATGAAACAAAATGGCCTTTTGATTACAAAATATTTGAAAATTTTTTAGGTCCTATAACTAATTTTTGATAATTTATTTTCAGATTTCAAGTCTTGATGGTTGGAGTTTGATTATCTGAGCAACTTTTAGCCAGTTTAATTTTCCTGTGTTCTTTTTTATAAAGCTTGTAGACGCGCAGTCCTGACTTAGGTATTTGCTTCATTATTTAGTAAATATTTTATTTCATAGTCATTATTTTGGATTTCCATCCATTTTTATACGCCCACATTGAAATGTGGTCGTATATTGTTGTCGTCCTGTCCGTCCGTCGTCCACAATTGCTTGTGGAAGCTCTATAGGCTAAAGTTAATATCCGATTGACTTTAAATTTATACACAGTGTTTAAGGTCATGAGATGAAAAAACCTATTGATTTTCAGCGATTTTCGATAATTACTGCCAGAGTTATGGCCCTTGATCACTTCAAAAAATCTTGTGGACGCGCTATAGGCTAATGTTAATATCCGATTGACTTTAAATTTATACACAGTGTTTAAGGTCATGAGACGAAGAATCCTATTGATTTTCAGCGATTTTCGATAATTACTGCCAGATTTATGACCCTTGATCACTTCAAAAAATCTTGTGGACGCTCTAGAGGTCAAAGTTAATATCCGATTGACTTTAAATTTATACACAGTGTTTAAGGTCATGAGACGAAGAAGCCTATTGATTTTCAACGATTTTCGATAATTACTGCCAGAGTTATGGCCCTTTATCACTTTGAAAAATCTTGTGGACGCTCTAGAGGTCAAAGTTAATATCTGATAGACTTTAAATTTATACACAGTGTTTAAGGTCATGAGACGAAGAAGCCTATTGATTTTCAGCTATTTCCAATAATAACTGTCAGATTTATGGCCCTTGATCACTTCGAAAAATCTTGTGAACGCTCTAGAGGCTAAAGTTAATATCCGATTGACTTTTAAATTTATACACAGTGTTTAAGATAAATGAGACGAACAAGTATATTGATTTTTAATGAATCTTTATGACTTGAACAGCTAAATCCATGATGTTAAAAGTTACGTATACTAAAAGTAAGCATGGGGCAGAACTTTATAAAAACCAAACAAATTCTAATGGTTTTCTGATAATTACTAATGAGTTGTTACTCTTAATCAGATTTTAATGTATTATAATTTATAAATGTTTCATTACCGAAAAAAGTAAAAATATGTGACAACTCTTGTTGACTGCCCGGACGATATAGCTGCAGTGGGCGTATGTTTCGTTGCCTGGCAACCTATCTTTTATTGTTCTGTATCATCTCATGCACATGTAGATTCCAACATATGGGCATTGAAGCTAGTGTTAATGCCTTTTTGAGAACCCCCCATTTCAGGTGTTGTGACAAAATGGTGTCACTTTACCTTGCCCTTAATCCAAAATATAAAATATATATGTTTAGCCACCAAAGGGAAATTGACTCAAAGTGTAGTAACTTTCAACTTGAGAAAATGGACAGAAAAATAACCTTATTTATATCTTCATATTGCATTGATGACTGCCAGCCTAGTCATTTTGTGTTGCTTTCTATTAAAAGGTGACAGAAACATCTTGGACCATGGTATAACAGTATCTACCATCACTACTGATAGATCTCCATCAATCACCAAAATAATGCGAGAGGAATACCCATCAATACAACACCAGTATGATGTTTGGCATATTCTTAAACATACAAAAAAAAAAAAAAAAAATTATCATACTGTTATGATAGTGTGGGGGTAGAGTTGAGGTTATTTGACAGTCTATCAGTCCTGTTTCCATTCTCATGATCAGTCATCATTGGTGGTTTTTACACTCTCTTTTCCCACAAATAGTAATCTGGATGGGCAGAAATGGGACAAGATTGATTAAATAATAAACGATTTTTAAGTTCACAGAGTAATTATGTCGCAAAATAAGTGCAGTCGATCTCAAAATAAGTCCTCACTGAATTAATGAGGTGAACAAACAATGCCAAAATAGAAGAAAAAATCCCAAATATGTATTTGCGTGAATCCGTGCACCTAAATTGCATACGTTAGGCTGCTCACGCAAACCTTTAGTATAAAATAACCTTGTCAACTTATCCTATTTGAGAAAATGTTTTTGCCCTTATTCTTTTGTGAGTATGTTGGTCTAAGAAAAAAATTCCAGAAAGGGGGAAAAAATAGTCGGTCTCAAAATAAGTGCAATCACTGCAGTCGGTCTCAAATTTATGCATCAGCAACTAAATGAATTAATGAGGTAAACAAACAATGCCAGAATAGAAGGGAAAAATCTCAAATACATGAATTTGCGTGAATCCGTGCACCTAAATTACATAGAGCGGTCCGAGAGGGGAACATCATACCAACAGCCTCCTCGGCTGAGAGGCTGGGAAATAGACATCTTCGGGCATCATTTAGACACCACTTGGATTAGACCACCCTGTTAAGTCCTAGGAGAGCCATATGATGTTGTGGGGTACCCTCAGTAAACTTATCCTACGAAATGGTGGGGTAGAGAGAATGACGTTAATCGTAATCTATATTTAGCTTATATTTAATGTCATAGCTGTGTGTGTAGTTTCCTTATATAATCGTTGTATTATGGATGTTATAAAGATATAAAAACATAGTTAACGTAAAAAGTGTTCCAGAGTTAATTGATCATATGCACAACGTGAACTTCCTGAATAGATAAGTGTCACCCTAGTGTCAAGGGCCGTATACACAACGTGGAAATAATTCATAATTCATCTAATTAAGGACACCGTAGTGTCACAAAGGTTCAACCAGGGCCATAACTTTACAAGTAATTATTTGAAAATGTTGAAATTCAATAGGATTCATCGTTTCACTAATTTAAATGATGCATATAAATTTCGTACAGAGCAGATGATAACTTACATCCTTCGAATGTTCACAAGGTTCAGCAAAGTTAAACAAGGGCTATAACTCTAGTCGTAATTATTGGAAATTGCTGAGGGGTCTTCGTGTCACTAATTTAAATTATCTGTATAAATTTCATACAGATCGGATGATAACTATTGTTGTTACAGCATTTACAAGGCGCAACAATTGCTGAAATGCAATGTGATTCTTTGTTTTACTAATCTAAATGATGCATATAAATTTCATACAGTTCGGATAATAACTTTTCGTTTAACTAATATAAATTCCATACAGATCGGATGATAACTTATGTTGTTCGCGCATTCACAAGGTTCAACAAAGTGAAACAAGGGCCATAACTCTAGACATATTTAAAGGAAATTCGTTTCACTAATTTAAATGATGCATATAAATTCCATACAGATCGGATGATAACTTTAGTAGTTAGAGCGTTCAAAAGGTTCAACAAAGTGAAACAAGGGCCATAACTCTAGACATAATTAAAGGAAATTGCTGAAATTCAAAAGGCTTTTTCGTTTCACTAATTTAAATGATGCATATAAATTCCATACAGATCGGATGATAACTTTTGATGTTGGAGCGTTCACAAGGTTCAACAAAGTGAAACAAGGGCCATCACTATAGACATAATTAAAGGAAATTGCTGAAATTCAATAGGCTTTTTCGTTTCACTAATCTAAATGATGAATGTAAATTCCATACAGATCGGATGATAACTTTTGTTTTTTAAATGATGCAAATAAATTCCATACAGATCGGATAATAACTTTTGTCGTTGGAGCATTCACAATGTTCAACAAAGTGAAACAAGGGCAATAACTATACGTAATTCAAGGAAATTGCTGAAATTCAATAGGCCTTTTCGTTTAATATAAATTCCATACAGATAGGATGATAACTTTTGTTGTTCGCGCATTCACAAGGTTCAACAAAGTGAAACAAGGGCCATAACTCTAGACATATTTAAAGAAATTGCTGAAATTCAATTAGGCTTCTTCGTTTCACTAATTTAAATGATGCATATAAATTCCATACAGATCGGATGATAACTTTAGTAGTTAGAGCGTTGAAAAGGTTCATCAAAGTGAAACAAGGGCCATAACTCTAAACATAATTAAAGGAAATTGTTGAAATTCAATAGGCTTTTTCGTTTCACTAATTTAAATGATGCATATAAATTCCATACAGATCGGATGATAACGTTTGAAAAGAAAAAAGATAGGTTGCCAGGCAACAAAACATACGCCCACAGCAGCTAAATCGTCCAAGCAGTCGACAAGGGTTGTCGCATATTTATTCTTTTGTAGGTAATTAGGGGCATTTAATAGACAATTTCATACAGATGACATTATAATTTTCATCGTTTGAGGCTTCACAAGGTTCTAAAAACTAAAACAATTAAATGGGGTTTAACATCTTACTGTTCTGCTTGGACTGGGCTGATGAAGACGGGCATACGCCATACTATGAGTAAAATTTTGCCAGGACAGCGGCACTATATGGCCATTTATATATATATTAAACAATGATTATATGTGTTATCTAGAAGTCTATAGTGTTATGTTTTCTCGTAATCATTTCTTTAAATACCTTAATTGTCCATACCTTTCTAACCAGAGTAATTATTTTTAGATTAGGGTAAAAGATAACTCCTACGAGTTAAAATGATTTATATAATTAGTGAATAGTTATTATCATCTAATGATTGATGTTTTGTCATATATATAGTGTAACCAATATATGCATTATACTGTTATAGTCAATATGATACTGTGTATTAGTCAAGTTTATATTCTTATGATTTGAATGCAATATTTGTAAACCGCCAGTAGGAATACATTTAAATGTCTCTTATAGACACAGCCAGTGGCTGGAATTTGCACGGTAGGCCAGCGAATGGGAGAGAGAGAGAAATGGGGTTTAACGTCCACTCGACACAAACTAGGTCATTTCGGGACTAACATATGGTTTAATTTTATTTACATAATTCGCTTGCGCGTAGGGGTCTTTAGCAGTGGGAGGAAACCGGAGGACCCGGAGAAAACCCACGAGGTTGGACAGGCGACCCTACTCCTTGCCACGTACAACCGGGGATTCAAAACCACGCCAGCTGACTCAATGACAGACTGTATGATACAGCGCGCGCACGCTAACCATTCAGCCACTCACTCCCCCCCCCCCCAGCGAATGGGACTGCGGCCAATAATCAGCGATCAAATCGCTGACATTGGCAAGCTACGTTCCGATGGCATAGAACCTCCTATCAGGAAAGAGGTCAGTACCCTTTCTGTTTCAGAGGGTACGGCAACCAAGGATTGCCGAAAAAGACAAGTTGCAGATTCAAGAACAAGTACGGCGAATGTTATTCGCCCGAAAAAGTAAAGACACTTTGATAGTACGGTGAACACTGTTCATCCGAAAAAGGACAGTTAACAGAAATAAACGCATTGAAGCTGTAAATACTGATATAATATATTTTAAAAGTTTTGTTACATAAGAGTTTGAACACTGAACGAGTCTGTCTTATTCCTACGGTGAAGCTTATCTTAATTTTAGCAAACACCGTTAATGACCACTTTTTAGCTGGTCCTTACACCCTTCCGAAGTTCCGTTTACCGGTGGCTCGTGATCAGCCAGGAATTGATCCCTGGTGGCAGAGATACCAAGCTCCCCATCAAGGGCGTGGATTTGTCATAACTTTGAGGGGGGGGGGGCGGACAAACCCTGGAACCTGGAACATTTCATTACCAAACGAAATAAATAATTACGAACAGTTTACTGTACAAGTGTTATTTCGATGAAGGCTGTAACTAGGGGTAATATGATGACAATATGGAAAAATTGACTACCTACAACAAAGCTGCATAAATATTAATTGTTCATGATGTTAAGTGACTCGTCCAAAGGCGTTCGTTCTACGATCAGGACTGTTCTCTTTGAATATCTTGGCGCATGAAGGGGATCATTATGCACCGCACGTGCCATCAGATGGCTCAGTCGGTTTTGTGTCATGGAGTTGCGCAGCCAAGTTTTGATACGGCACAGAGTGCTGAAGGAACTAGCAGGGTTCAGCAGTGTGAAATGAGAAGAGCTTCGACAGAAGGGAACGTCTGCCTCACTTCAGGTGACATAATGCTTCGTGCACAAGTGCAGCAATATTGTCGTTGCTATATTCTTTTCAATTTATAGGCAAGGAATAGAGAAATAAGATGACATTATATTGTATTAATTAATGATTTAGCAAGTTATTAGATTCAAACATATTCACATATATGTACTAAAAATACTTAAATCAAAATGAGTGAACGAATGACATATTGCTATATAAAAAAGAGTTATAGAATCAAAACATAGCTGGTTCTATATGTCAATAACATGATAACAGATATCTCATGGGAAGTTTCTGCAGTAAATTTCCATTTAACCATATAACAGTGGGTTTCGACGTCATGTGACTTAATTAACCAATAGCTATAATTATTTACATCATATTTGACCAATTAGATAATTGAACGTCCAAAACCCACAGCTACAAAATTATCATACTTGTGAGAATTCGTTAGACAACAGACAGATTCTGGAAGGTAAAAGATGTAACCATTTCTATCAGGAGACTCGCCCATATCGAGTCTGGCTGGCTAGGGTTTGAGAATGACTTTAGTATTGTAATCTCTACTATGCTTATATGTATCCAGCTTGATAAATAAAATGTAACCAGCGGCTGCCAGGCATGATACGCCCACATTTTTGAGAGATGGATAGAGAACAAGCTAAAAAGAAAGTGATTTTTCCTACAATCAAGGGCCATAATTCATGAAGTTGCGACAATATCGAAAGGAACCAACATCTTTAGGTTATAAACATGCATTTCAAGTTTCATCAAAATCAAATTAAAATTGCGACCTGTACAGGGTCCACAACCTTGATATACCATATTTTTACACTATTCGCGTACAAGTGGCGGCCATTTTGGTCCGATTTTAACGAAATTCGAACTCAACCTTGATATAATCAAACGTTTTTTTTTAAATCGTATAATAATTGTGACCTCCAGAGGGACCACTAGCTAAAAAAAAGTGATTTTGCGTACAATCAGGGGCCATAATTCAGGAAGTTACGATCCGATATGCGACAATATCGAAATGAACCAAGATCTTTAGGTTATAAACATGCATTTCATCAAAATAGAATTAAAATTGTGACCCATACAGGGTCCACAACCTTGATTTACCATATTTTTACACTATTCGCGTCCAATGGCGGCCATTTTGTCCGGCAATTTTGGTCCGATTTTCACGAAATTCGAACTCAACCTCCCTTAGGGGTAACGGGGATATAATAATACGTTTTTTTTTAAATTGGATAAAAATTATGACCTTTATAGGGACCACAAGCTAAAAACGCGATTTTTCGTACAATCAGGGACCATAATTCAGGAAGTTACGTCCGATATGCGCGAATATCAAAAGGATCTGAGATCTTTGGGTTATAAACTTACATTTCAAGTTTCAACAAAATCGGATAAAAATTGTGACCTCTATAGGGTCCACAAGCTAAAAACGTGATTTTTCGTACAAACAGGGGCCATAATCCATGAAGTTTCGATCCGATACATGCCTATATCGAAAGCAGTCGAGATCTTTTGGGGATAAACCTATATTTCAAGTTTTGTCAAAATCGGACAAGAATTGTGACCTGTAAAGAGCCCACAAACAAATTGTGGACGTCCGGACGGACAGGGGCGACGGCAATATACGTCCACATGAAAATGTTGGCGTATAAAAACGAACAGTTGCATTGTTATAACTACTGAGAAGACAAACGTCTTAAGAAAACAGAAATAAGTAAATACACAACGTGATGGGGATGGGGGGGGGGGGCAACTTCAACTTTGAATTTTCAACTTTTTTTTATTTGCATATTACGTCCATTAAGAACATTATACAAAACATACGCATACATCAATATCAGGTATACAAAAATATATTTTACATGGAACAATATATTGGAATAACATGATATAATGAAATGAAAATGCATGTACCATTGAGATGATATAATGAAAATATAACAATGAAAGTATGATATGTATACATTGCTACTGCTTCTTTAGCAAGAAAATCTGGCGGATTAAAAAGAAGCTCAAAGGTTAATTGACAAGATTGTATTAAAGTAGGGTAGATATATTTTAAGCGCAAGTTTTCATATCTGGGACACTGGAAAGAGAACATTGGGTGCATAACCTTTGGTCTGGTGGAATATTCTTGTATCGCCCTCTCTCTATTTCCAGTTTGTGTGAGCTAAGTAAGGCGGATTTAAAGTTTTTATTTTTAACCTGCAGGAGGTAACGAGCGGGGTGATTTATTAAGTTTTTATACAGACCATACGTTCTCAGTTTGGTTCCTGATTTAGTTAGTTCTGCAAAATGATGGTTGAATTTAGTTTGAAGTTTTAGTTTAGTTGCTGAGGGAGAGGGGTTATGAGGGAGATCATAATATTCATATAATTTTGCTATGGATGCTGTCCAAGAATATTTAATGTTATTGTTTGCAATGAGGTTGCTATCGGTAATGAAGGCAGAATGTAAAAGAACACTTTTAGGAAAACTGTCTATACTAGAATTAGTAAGACGTTTATAGGAGATCATTCTTTGAAATATGTCAAGGTTAGCTGGGAAAATACCCAATTCTGCTAGACAGCCAATGTTGGATGTTTTTGATGGTTGTGCTAGTATTGATTTGCAGATTTTAATAGTTAGTTTATGATGATTAATTTGGTCCCATTTACTAATTTCAAAAATTTTGCTGTGTACCAAACTAGATCCCCAGATATCGGATGCATATATAGCTATCTGCTTGACAACGGATTGGTATAATTTGATCAGAACATCGGTAGGAAGAAAATCGGTAGTACCAATTTTATTGCACAAATAAAACCATGCACGTCTAGCTTTACTATTAAGTTCGGTGATTGCAGACTTGAACGTAGAGTTATTGGAAAGGCACACCCCTTGATAAACGTATGATTTAACTATTTCAAGATTAATATTGCCAAAATGAAATATGTTCTTTATTTTTCTTTGATTATTTTTGATTATCATGATTTTTGATTTTGTTGGGTTACGGTCAATCTGCCAATCACCGTAAAATTTATTAAGTTGGTCAAGACTAGTTTGTAACCCAGTTTCAGTAGTGGAGAGCAACCAGCAGGTGGGAGACATTATTAGATTCTAGTGAGGGAGGATTTGTGTTCGCATTATTAATATAAAACTGTAAATCGTTAATATAGATATTAAATAGTACAGGGCTTAACACACATCCCTGTTTCACACCCATGAAAGAGTTTATTGTATTGGAGATTCCCATGGAAGTTTTCGCAGTATATGAAGTATTTGAGTACATGGATGTAATTAAATCAAATATCGGTCCGTTGATGTTATTTTTTAGTAATTTATAAAAGAGGCCTGTTCTGCATACAGAGTCAAAGGCTTTTTTAAAGTCCACAAAGGCCATGAACAAATTCTGTTTCTTACACTTAAATTTGTTGATAATCGTTTTGAGTATGAAAATATTATCAACTGTCCGATGATTTTTACGGAACCCGCCCTGTGCCGGGTCAAGTAAATTGTTGTCTTCAAGGTAATTTGTTATTCGATTATTGATAATAGACAGAAAACACTCGCTGAAGCAACTGGACAGGGAAATGCCACGATAGTTATTTAAATCATCCTTACTGCCCTTTTTGTGTAGTGGAACAATATATGATTCCATCCAGGACGCTGGATAGCAACCCGTCGTTAAAATCATATTGAACAATTTTAGGAACTGATCAATCATAATTTCGGAGGAAGATATTAACATTTCATTGAGAATCAAATCAGGCCCATTCTATTTTTTTGTTTTTAGTTTTTTTTACAGCTTTTCGAAGTTCATTTGCAGAGATAGGCTCATTCAGGTTGGTATTAATAGGCTCTTGTTTAAGTTGTTCAATTTTTTCAAATATTTCAGAGAGTTTGGACTGATCATGTTTTTTTTCAAAAAGTGTGGTAAAATGATTTTCCCACACGTTAATGGTTATGTTATCACCCCATCTGGTTTGTCTTTAAGAAGGGAATTGACAAGTTTCCAGTATTCACGCGGGTTATTGCTATCAAGATCATCAAGTTTTTCTAATATTGCATTTTTAGCCTGTCGCATTTTGTATTTAGTTGTTTCTTATAATCTTTCTTTCTCTTATAATATCCAAGGCTAACAGTTTAATAAATTGATCATGCAAAGAATGAAGACAACTGTCTAGACTGAGATGCTTTATCAAATAACTAAACAAGTGGTTTAACATGCAAGATAAGCCCACATTTTGCAAGAGATGATGGAAAATATGAACAATCAGAAAAAAAAATCTGTTAAAAACAAAGGCCTCTATCGCCTTCATAAGGTTTTCAGAAAAGGGAGCTAACTCCAGAACAGAAGGTCTGATGAGTAACAAAAGTTAACTTTTTATCTTTGACATACATTTTCATATATTTTAAGTGTCATCTAAATCGGATAAAAATTGTGGGTTCTAAGAGGGACCACAAACTTTGTACATATTTCACACTTGTGTAAAAAAGGTAGGTCATAACCCATGAAATTGCGGTCTGATGTGCACAAAAAGCAAACTCTTCCAAGATCTTTAAAGATACATTATGGGAGATTAGATAACGAGTTTGCAGTTCACACTATAATAGTTAAAAAACTAGATAATGTAAAGGGAATTTGCTGAAAATTTCAGTCAAATTGATCCACTATGAACCGAGAACGAAGCGGGTGAAATTTTCGCATAGTCTCGGCCATCATTACTAAAATAATTAATATAAACACATAGTCTCGATTATCCACTGTTTTGATTTAATTATCAATGGCCGTTAAGCGGCATATAGGAATCTAATCCAGCCAACATCGAAGGCTAGCCTTGGCATCGAGAGTTTATTATGGTATGGATAAGTTAAGTAATGCCTAAAGAAATACCTGCAATAGGCAGATTTAGCTCTTGCATAATGTATGTTTAAAATATGATATATGTTAAGTTTCATCTGATTTGGACAAAAATTGTGGCCTCCAGAGGGTCCACAACCTTGGTATATGTATTACATGCTTTGCCACTATCTGAGTAAAGTGAGGGGAGATTTTAACGGAAAGAATGCTCATGGTTAAATAATGTATATCAGTGTGGAAATAAAAGTATACTGTTGAATCAAGCAACAAAAAGAAAACTGCATAGTTTGAAAACATGTCAGACGAAAAGAACAATTTACACCATAAATTGCGTTCATATTTGACACATGCGCAATTGTTTCACTTAGATTCAGCATAAGCACACAAACCTTTTAAAAGCTGTCTCAACATTTCACTAAAATGTTGTTCGCCTTCGTTTCATTTTTAATCGTGTAGGAGTATTATTTTGAGAACTAGAATTCTCTCCTTGAAATGAGTCTGAGTTTTTGAAATTGAAAGTTATTTCCTCATCAACCATTAAAGAATTTTCACTGAATGATTCACTCTCTGAACAGGGCACAGTTTCAAATGAATTTAAGGGTGTGGCTAAACTGTCATTAGATATATCTGTTGTAACTTGTGTGTAGAAAAGAATATAAGCTTGAGACTTCTGAACATCACCTAATGAACAAAACTCCACTTTTGAGTCATTACAATTTAACCAGGATTCTGAAAATAGTGAAAAATAAGGAACTAAAGTATTAATACTATTAATAGAAAACAGATCGAGTTTTGCTCATTAAAGTGATTGTACTTGAGGTATATGACAGACTATGGACTATACAGAGCAATAGAGACTAACAGCCAGTCAACGGATTCATTTATTATTGATAGTTCAGTAGTTGCTAAGGACGGACTGTGGAGTCCATGTCCTTAGATCACTGTAATGTTTGTCAGGTTTCATACTTAGTTTGTTTTCTGTTGTGTTGTCCGTCTGCACTTCAGATAAGATAGAATAAGGCTGTAGACTCCCAAAAGTATGTTTTTAAAGCTCAATATTATCCAACTTTTTGATACTTTCAAGTCAAGTACTGATTTAGATGCCAGACGAGAGAGATTTTCAACATATTGATTTAAATGTGAGATTTTCAACAATCTATGTACTTGTTGTATGTATAGTGTTCAAACTACTATTTGGATATCCGTTAACGGATACAAAATTAGGGTTATCTGCATCATTTTACTATCCGTTACAGCCTTCTGACATTCCGTATGCTCTCTATTTAGCCATTTTTACTATAGATTATTTTGAAATTTTCCCCAATGCTATTGGTCACGTACGCAGCTTTGAGAATAAATGTTCATGCGTATTATTTAGCGATAGTAACTAATAACCAGCGGCTGCCAGGCAGGATACGCCCACATTTTCGAGAGATGGATAGAAAACAAGCTAAAACGAAAGTGATTTTTCCTACAATCAAGGGCCATAATTCAGGAAATTACAATTCGATATGCGGAAATATCGAAAAGAACCAAGATCTTTGGGTTATAAACTTACATTTCAAGTTTCAACAAAATCGGATAAAATTTGTGACCTCTATAGGGTCTACAACCTTGATATACCATATTTTTACGCTATTTGAGAACGAAGGGCGGCCATTTTGTCAGTCAGTCTTAGGCCGATTTTCACGAAATTCAAAAATTATGACCTCTATAGGGTCCACAAGTAAAAACGCGATTTTTCGTACAATCAGGGGCCATAATTCAGGAAGTTACGTTCCGATATGCACGAATATCGAAAGGAACCGAGATCTTTGGGTTATAAGCATACATTTCAAGTTTAAACCAAATTGGATAAAAATTGTGACCTCTACAATGTTCACAAGCTGAAAACGTGATTTTTCGTACAATCAGGGGCCATAATCCATGAAGTTACGGTCCGATACATGCCAATATCGAAAGGAACCGAGATCATAGGGTGATAAACCTATATTTCAAGATTGATTGAAATCGGATAAAAATTGTGACCTGTAGACGGTTCACAAACAATTGTGGACGAACAGACAGACAGGGGCGACGACAATATACGTCCACATGAAAATGTGGGCATATAAAAATATTAAGGCAGTGCAACGAAAATAGTAGTCTAAATAAAAAAATATTCATTCATTCCCTGCGATGGATTACGCTAGATAGAAGCTACTTCTTGGGTTTATGGGATACAAGTTTACACTGTGTTTAGACTTCCCACAATGAAATTTATTCATAACGACCTAGGTCACGTATATTCTCACTTACTGATTGGTTCAATAGCAGTAGATTATCACAATGAGGCAAACGACCTTGGCGGAATAAATGTCAGATGTTTTTATTTTACTTTTTTCATTCGTGTTGATTGAGCAAAAATGATAAGTGGGAGGAGTAGTTATACACAAATTTATTCACCTCATTGATTTTTTTGGATATCATGGATAGTCTTAATAATTAAGGCTAAAGGTAGGCACGTTTTATTCTTCGCGGCTCAAACAATTTGCAAATCGAAAGTAAGATTTCATACTCGGCATACACAGACACTCATAAACATTGAAATAAGTGAGAAATTATGAGTATATGAACTTTTGATGTGATTTTGTTCAAGAATTTCACGTTTCCGAATTATCCGAATAGTATTCGGATAGCAAACAAAAGTATTCGGATCACAAATCTCGATCCGATTTTCAACACTATGTATGTAGTATGTACATTTCGGATATTTGTTGATACTGATATTTAACAGTAAAGAAATTAAGATGATTTGGTCATAAATATCTAATCCAAAACTTAATTATTAATACTTACCGGCCTCACTACTCCAGCAATATGCTGTATAATGACCGGAACCGAAACCCCATCCATGATGTACTACAACACCAGATAATCTATATGTACAAGATGTCCAACTCACAGAGTCAGAACAATATGGGGACATATCTAAGTCCTCATCAAAACTTACATGAGTACTGATTTTTTCACGATGATATCGACCTGACCACCTGGAATTAACAAACAGCTTCGTTGATTTTTCCCTAAAAATGTATTTGTAAGAAAAAAAATGATGATTATGATGTGTTATATGGTGAGATAATATACACCCGACCATGCACTATGCACTAAAAACATTCATGCTAAATCAACATGCACACCAGTAATTTCTCTGCACCTGCTGCATGCATTAAGCAATTTTTGCCAGAAAAACATGGGAGGATTGATCTAGAATACACCTTATTATTAATATCAAGTTTTATAATTAAACTAAGCCAGATAAGTGAATGTTAATGTTATACTATTATGTATCAACTGTAAATCAGGATTGGCTATTAGTATGTTTGATGTTGGTCCAAATGATGTAGATCTTTTTCCATATGTGACCCTCCATGTACTATAAAACCAGTTGGGGATCACGGTGGCTAAGTGGGTAGGAGGTCGGGTGTTCGATCCCTGCATTGGCCGAGAAAGTTCATCCAGATTTTCCGGCGTGGTTTCCCCTTGTCAGTGATGAAGGACGGAGGGCCTGACAAAGACAGCTGTCTAGTCCTTCGGATGAGACAAAAAACCGAGGTCCTGTGTATACATTAGAATGCACGTAAAAGGTCCCTTGGCAGTTGGAATTCGATATAAGAGTAGGCGATAGTGCCGCTGCTCAGGCAAAATTTCCCTCATAGCACACTGTATGGCGTATGCCCGTCTGCATTAGCCCAGGTTAGGAGCAGACCTTATACTGTGTATAAATTTAAAGTCAATTGAATATTAACTTTAGCCTCTAGAGTGTCCACAAGATTTTTTAAAGTGATCAAGGGCCATAACTCTGGCAGTAATCATCGGCTTTTTCGTCTCATCACCTTAAACACTGTGTATAAATTTAAAGTCAATCGGATATTAACTTTAGCCTCTAGAGCATCCACAAGCAATTGTGGACGCCAGACCGCCGGACGACAATATACGACCACATAAAAATTGGCTGAGTTATGGCCATCTGAAGTTTCCATAGCTGCGGTGCTGCCAAATTCAAAATAATGAGAAATTTGCCTTTTAAAACAGCCAAAATAAATCCCATAGAAAGACATATACTATTGCATACATCAAAATGTAATTTTGTGTGTATAATAATGTGTGGTGTACCAACATTTGTACAAAATTTCATCAACATATTCCTTTAGTAACATATTTTTGTTGTTGGTTTTCTGAAATATACCTGAGGAGATCCATATAACTCGCATTGGCTGCATTATGGCCATGGCTACAAAGGCCTGGTTCCACATTTTTGCCACAAAATATAATTTTGCACGTCACTTCCCATTTCTTCACATACTTGTTACACGTCTTCCGTGGCAATGATCTCTGTGTTAAAATGTATTTAACCAGTTCTATCACATATGTAATAATGACTGACACCAATATTGTCCTTTAATGTGTTTTATTTTTAAGTGATGATATATATCTTGAGTCACCCAAATAAAACTATTTTTGCCCATTACCATGGTAACTGTTTTATAAATAATTGGTTTTAGATCACATTCGAGGGGAAAACCTAAACCAAACCCTCTTATTAGAGTAGAAATATTAGCATATGGCTCAATTTCACATAATCTTATATGGTGATATTGAATTTAACAATACATTTTTCGTCATTATTATTTATTTATTTATATTTATCCGATTTTTCTAATATGGTTCTTACTAGAAAAAATGTAAGCACCAGTGGGCAGCCCCCACCTGGTGTAGCCTGCCATGCACCCCCACCTGGTGTAGCCTGCCATAGGGCTAGCAACCCTATGAGAAATTTTGTCCCTCTACACGGAACACCTTATGTGACTCCGCATGTTAATCTCACCAATAAGAATCTAGCAGGTAGTTTTGATGAATTGGCTGCAGGTAACCTACCTGATACTTTAATTGATTCAAATATTAACAATGCATTATGCAAGAGCAAAATCTGCTTATTACAAGTCTTTACTTTCTTTAGGCCTGAAATGTTATCTAAATTATCAATTAGACATTAATTAACTTATCCAGACCATAATAAACTCTCGATGTCAAGGCTAGCCTTCGATGTTGGCTGGATTAGATTCCTATATGCCGCTAACGGCCGTTGATAATTAAATAAAAAAAAATTGGATAATTGAGACTATGCTGTTTATATTAATGATTTTAGTATTGATGACCGAGACTATGCAAAAATTTCAACCGCTTCGTTCTCGACTCGTAGTGGATCAATTTGACTGAAATTTTCAGCAAATTACCTTTACACTATCTATTTTTTAACTATTATAGCGAGAACTGCCATCTCTTTATCTTATCACCCATAATGTATCTTTAATTGTGAATTTTGTAGTCTGTCTTTTGGTGCTTGTAACTATAGACAGTGTAAATTATGTACTGATTACAATGAAGCCCACACATTTGGTAGCTCGGTTACTGGTAGATGCTACCATATTTCTACAGATCAAAATCTTAATTGTAATATGCAAAATATAGTATATTTATTGACTTGCAATCACTGCAGATTACAGTATGTTGGGGAAACTAGTAAATCTTGTAAAACAAGGTTTAATAATCATAGATCAGCAGGAAATTCTGAAAATGCACACAAACTACTATATCAACATTTCAAACAAAATCCATGAAAGGATTTTGGATACAGAGTTCAAATAATTGAAAAACTTTCTGGTTTAGGACACCTCAGTAATGGCAAAATCGATCCTGCAGTTACACAAGAAAGAAATCACGCAGAAGAAACTTGGATAATAAAATTACAAACCATTTTCCCTTATGGTCTCAATCATAGATTTAAAAACATCGATTACAGTAACCGTGATGAAAACACTTTGATTACAAGAAATTGTTACAAAAAACTTGATCATAAATTTCAAAATAAAAGATAGGTTGCCAGGCAACGAAACATACGCCGACAGCAGCTAAATCGTCCAGGCAGTCAACAAGTATTGTGGCATATTTTTACTTCTTTCGGTAATGAAACATTTATAATACACTAAAATCTGATTAAGAGTAACAAATGTTGAAGTAATTATCAGAAAACCATTAGAATTTGTTTGGTTTTTATAAAGTTCTGTCCCATGCCAACGTTTAGTATACAAAACTTTTAATATCATGGATTTAGCTGTGCAAGTCATAAAAATTCATTGAAAATCAATATACTTGTTCGTCTCAAGCTCTTAAACTCTGTGTATCAATCTGAAATCAACTCTGGCAGTAATTATCGGAAATCGCTGAAAATCAATAGGCTTCTTCGTCTCATGACCTTAAACACTGTGTATAAATTTAAAGTCAATCGGATATTAACTTTGGCCTTTAGAGCGTCCACAAGATTTTTTGAAGTGATCAAGGGCCAGAACTCTGGCAGTAATTATCGAAAATTGCTGAAAATGAAGAGACGTCTTGGTCTCATGACCTTAAACACTGTGTATAAATTTAAAGTCAATCGGATGTTAACTTTAGCCTCTAGAGCGTCCACAAGATTTTTCAAAGTGATCAAGGGCCATAACTCTGGCAGTAATTATCTGAAATCACTGAAAATCAATAGGCTTCATCGTCTCATGACCTTAAACACTGTATAAATTTAAAGTCAATCGGATATTAACTTTGACCTGTAGAGCGTCCACAAGATTTTTTGAAGTGATCAAGGGCCATAACTCTGGCAGTAATTATCGGAAATCGCTGAAAATCAATAGGCTTCTTCGTCTCATGCTCTTAAACACTGTGTATAAATTTAAAGTCAATCGGATATTAACTTTGGCCTGTAGAGCATCCACAAGATTTTTTGAAGTGATCAAGGGCCATAACTCTGGCAGTAATTATCAGAAATCGCTGAAAATCAATAGGCTTCTTTGTCTCATGACCTTAAACACTGTGTATAAATTTAAAGTCAATCGGATATTAACTTTGGCCTTTAGAGTGTCCACAAGATTTTTTGAAGTGATCAAGGGCCATAACTCTGGCAGTAATTTTCGGAAATCGCTGAAAATCAATAGGCTTCTTCGCTTCATGACCTTAAACACTGTGTATAAATTTAAAGTCAATTGGATATTAACTTTAGCCTCTAGAGCGTCCACAAGATTTTTTGAAGTGATCAAGGGCCATAACTCTGGCAGTAATTAACGGAAATCGCTGAAAATCAATAGGCTTCTTCGTTTCATGGCCTTAAACACTGTATATAAATTTAAAGTCAATCGGATATTAACGGACGGATGACGACAATATACGACCACATTTCAATGTGGGCATATAAAAAAGTTCTATAAAAAAAATTGAAATTTCAAAAAGACCCAGAAAGTATTTTGAATGAATCGTATTCTGTATGTCAATGCCATGCTTCCGATAAATTGTACTGTGCAGCTTGTGTACTCAACCTAGCACGACAAATTATACACACTTTGAAAAAATCTACAGCTAAGAAACTTGGGTGTGCTAATACAGGATATCATCTATTCTAATCAACTTAATGAACGCTTTCTTCCACAATATTACGATGTTATAACCGATTTGATAAATAGTAAATTTTCACCTAAGCATTCAATACAGCCTCATAAAGTGCAAAAGAAAAAACCTGACGTCTTATGTAAAATCCTTTTTACAGATAAACATATACAAGACATTGGATTGAATAGAATCTTTAGAGACCGATCAGTAATTATAAAAATCTATACCAGATACTTTTCCTAAAATTTCACCTACAGTCGTATACAAATTTTTACCTCCAATTCGTAATAAAATATTTAACTACCATCAAACTATTGAAAACTTTAACGTACAAGAGTTTATTAACAATTACGATAATACTATATGTCAATGCGCCAACTCTCCCTTTAAAGACAAGTTTCATGACCATATACTTACAAGAAACTTCGATATTGTTGAAGATAAAAATCTTAAAAAAACTTTTTCGCTTTGGACCACAATTTCGAGAACAACCTAGTAAAACTAATTTCAAAAAGTTACATAATCTTAAATCTCAAATCAGGAAATGCATAGTAGCTTGGTCTGATAAATTTCGTGCACCATTAGAATCTTTTGGAGAATGGAAAAACACTGTTTTTGATCTCTTGTCAAAAAGAATCAAATATATAAAACTTAACCCAAGACACCCGCCACCCGAAGTCCTAAATAATACATCCGCAGTTGAATGTCTTGCTTCTCTTCAAGATAGATTTGTTCTAACGCCTGTCGATAAGGCCAGCAATAATATTGCCTTTATCTGTAAAAAATACTATATTAGAAATATTCTTACTTTGGCCCAATACCCATAATGACACTTATAAATGCATTACAGATTTAACTTAACTAGATATTTTACATAACCAATATACATTTAACAGGAGTAATGATATTAAAGCGATAATTTCATATTTTCTAAGAAAGTCAAAACATAATTATTTCTATGTCTTTTGCTCAATAGGTTAACAACTCACTATTATACGACCATGGGCATTATTTCCCACCCCTAAAAATTACCTCCCTTGTTTTCCTATTGCCTCCATGCATTAGCTACCTTCAAACGTTGGAATTTGAAGTTGAAAATGATATTTTTGCCAATTTCTCAGCTGGCAATAGTGACTTATAGGATTAATAGGATTATTCTTTAACAAGGTATGACGTTTTATGGATACCATCTATTTTAAGGCTATATTTTAATAAATTTTAAAAATATAACTTAAAAATATGAAATTGCAGCTTTAAAGACAATGTGAAAATAGATGCACTACCTTACATTTATTCTATACCTAAATTCCATAAAAACCCAGTAAAATTCAGATAATATCCTCCAGTATCTGCCAAACAAAACCATTAGCTAAAACTATCACCAAAGGGCTTAAATTATGCCAAACCCAACATGCCATTTGGTGCAGAACACTTCGTAGCTATACTGGAATAATAGTTTTTTTATAATTGATAAAAAAAAACCTATAGTAGACACTTTAGAAAAAATCAATAAAAAAATTAATGCAAACACAATAGAAACTTCGATTTTTCTACTTTGTATACTATGCTTCAACATGCAGATCTTAAAGATAATTTAGATTGGTTTGTAGATAAAGCCTTTAATGGAGCTTTCGGGAAAGGCAGAAACTTGATGGCCATTTATGCAGAAGATGCTAAATGGATTATGAAACGTCGCAATGCCAACACTGTAGTTTTTGATAAAGAAAAATTTCAAAATATCATTCATTTCCTCATTGACAATGCCATATTTGAGGTTGGGGATCAGATAATGCAACAAACCATTGGTTTGCCAATGGGAACTGACCCCGCCCATTTATGGCAAATGCACATTTATATAAATACGAATTCGACTTTCAAGACCATAAAAGAAAAACAGATTACAAAGTAGCTAAAAGTCTAAACTATACCTTCCGATACATTGATGACATAACACCTATCAATGATAACGGAAATTTCAACAAATATAAAAGTGAAATATATCCTCCTGAACGAATATTAAATAAAGAAAATTCCGGTACTATAAATGCATCTGTTCTTGACCTGAACATCAATATAATTAACAATAAATTTAATGTCGGTATTTTCGACAAAACGGACAAATTTGGTTTTGAAGTAGTAAAATACCCGTCAATCTATAGTAACATACCAGATACCCTGCTATATAGTGTTTTCTATTCACAGGAATTACCATTTTTGACAATATGTAACAATAAAGAACTATTTCTCTCCCGAATAAAATCTCTTTACTTTAAATGCACTGCCAAAGGCGCTACACAATTACGCATTTTAAAAGAAATTTCAAAACTTCCATTTCTTCAACATACCAAGTTTGACATTACTTGTAAGTATATAACCTACTACATACTGGATAATGATCCAATTTAAATTTTATTTTAGATTTTCTGTAGTTACCTCACCCTGTCTGAATTACCTCCCTTAATTTTATGCCTTTATAAATACACTTACATAGTACGATTTCTTCAACATACCTGTTTTGCATTTCTTGTGTGGGATATTATATTAATATATTATAAATTGTGTGGGATATTATATTAATATATTATAAATTGTACAATTACATAACTTAATAATTCCGATTAGTCGCTAAAACTTATGGTTTTTTAAGCTTTTAACGTTATTTTATCTGGATTATCGCCCTTGGCCTTATTATTGTGATTTTTTATCACCTTCTAAGATATGACGTCATTCTCAGTCAGCAGACGGCTGTCCCTCGAGACAGTCTACATTTCCTATTTGCTTCTTTGTATTCAGTTTTGTTTTTTGTTTTTGTGACGATGGAACATGTACCCTATATGTATTGAATACTAAAGTGTTTCTTGATTGAATTTAGAGTTTAGACTACTTTTTTTATACATTTCACCGATGTGGTTACTTGTATAGTTGAATTTTACTACATATGCTTACATTCTTATTTCGTGTAGCATATAGCAGATCATGACTCATGCTGGCATTACACAATGGGTTCTTTGGGTTGTATTCCTAATTGTTTACAAATTTAAGTGAAGTCTGTGTCACTACAGACCCGGTACTGTACAGCGCAGTGGACGCTTACGGCTAGCCCCCGGATCCATTCACTTTTTTTGAATTGTCTGTATGTTTGTGTTTTCCTGAGTATGATGTCCTGCCCGTGTATTTGCTTTTGTTTAATTTTGTGTGGTGCAGTCCCCCTGCACTTACTATTAGTAACAACTAACATCTCGTATTAATCTACTATTTTTTCGGTAGTTTTGACCCATATAGTGTATTTTGCTGTGTCTTTAGAAACTGAGCAGTGGGACATCTGACTGGTTTTGTGCTGGAGGGTCACATATAAATTTGAGCAAGCGGTTGCCACATTTTGCAAGAGATAGACGGGGAGAGGGAAAATTGGGACCTCTAGAGGATCTACAAGCTAATAAACATGATTTTTCGTACAATCAGTAGTCATAATCCAGGAAGTTACAGTCTGATATGCGGCAATATCAAAAGGAACCAAGATCTTTTGGTTATACATTTTAAGCTTCATCAAAATCTGATAAAAATTGTGACCTAGCTAGAGAGTCCACAAGCTAAACACTAGATTTTTTGTACAATCAGGCGCAATAATCCATGAAGTTATGATCCGATACATGCCAATATCAAAAGGAACAGAGATCTTTGGAATATCAACCTATATTCCAAGTTTCATCAAAACTGGATAAAAACTGTGACCTGCAGAGTGTCCACAAACAAACATGAACAGACGTCCGGACAAACAGGGGCGAAACATAATACATCTTTAAAGTTACTGAATGTCATTTGAGGTATTTTGAATTCTTTGTAACTACAAAACTGTATAAGTTGAATCTCTAAAACAATATCAGTTCAAAAAGGGTTCAAGTCTATTCACTATTTACATAAAAGATATGATGAATTGAAGTTTTTTGCATCATTTAGTGTCATCTACAAGTGCTGAGTAAAATCTCTTGATGTGCCTCTTTTTAATCAGATTGAATCCAAGCAGGTTTTGTTTTCTTAATTGAGGCTAAATAACCAATTTGAGTACATTTTAAAATTGATTAAAGATACATTATGGGAGATTTTTATAGAGAATTGGCCATTCTTGCTATAACAGTTCAAAAGTAGATGATGAAAGAAGAATATATTGAAAATTTCAGTCAAATTACTTTATTCTGAACATAGTTATCATCGTTGTAATATTTGACTAGAAATGGTAGTGAAATGTGCCTTCACCTTGGCCGATCGTTTGATTGACAGGCGTTAACTCCACCTACATATCTCGATTATCAAGTAAAGTTTTCAATGGCATGCGGAAACGCTCTACAGTGGCATCGCTAAGTACACTCTATCATTTAGCCTCGATCTAACTGACGTATTCTCATCAGGATGCGCCATATTTGAATTAATTAATAAGTGAAATCCTATTTAAATCCGAGCTGTAGCCGAGCCATCCGTGTGTCTACAGAGTTGAATTTGGGCTTGTTGTTTAAATAAAGATCTAATTTATAATTTCTATAACATCTGAAGCCTAAATAAAGACTTGCAATAATCAGATTTTGCTCTTGCATAATGTATGTTTAAGCCATGAAACATTGTCTGAAAAATGCATCAATGATTTATGGTCTGTTTGAGTTGGTTGGACTATACCTTAGCTTTCAAATTTTATGAGCTGGTCCAGCTTAAATAGTAACAAATCACTTTAGGCATTAAATTTTAATATTTTATGGCTAACTCCTCAAAGAAAAGCACTGATTTTAACAAGGGCATTCTTGAAATATTTTAGTAAATAAGGCCCAAGTATAAATGCATATTAATTAAAGGCAGGTCATGTACTTACCGGAATCGTTTTAAATGTAATCTGAGTACAGGAGGTAGTTTGTTTAACAATAATTGTTTACAGGCTTCAGATAATATGGACGGTTTGTTATCACCTGCTTCAACTAGCTTCTCTGCAAGGCAAACAATCATTTAATTTCATCATTTTATTTGAATTAGAAGGTATGCAAAATATCTATATTTGAACTAATATAGTAAAGCCAGAACCCCCTGCGCTTTCTCTAAATCTTGAATATTAAATATTTACAGATGGGATTGATGTTTGGAATCTGGTAAGTGACGGACGGCGATAATGAAGTTTTATTCCAAGTTTTATCAAAATCCATCAACTAGACGTAAAATTATTCATAGAATAGCAATAACAGGCTATACTTTACATGTATACTTCAAGTCAAATAGAAGGAAAAGACTTACTGTTGCAATATTCACAGGCGTAAATAGGACCTTCCAGCATTTCTATTTCTGTAAATTTGGTCAACATTTCTGTTACGTGACAAGAAGCATTTGAGACATTTGTATTGGAGGATGTTATTTGATAACGATCAGGGAATTCCAGAGACAGATCTAGATATGGTTCATGAGTAGAAGATTGGTTATCACATTTCAAACATGTGACCTGTAAAAAAAAAAAAAAAAAAAAAAAAAATTTTTTTTAGTCAAAAACATCTTAGTATTGACAGTTCAAGAAAATATGATAACATGTGAGATTTACTTTTAGTGAAAAACCAATTACTTAAGCGGATATAAATTCAGTGTGACAACATTAGAAATTTGTCCATAATTATTTCTTGATGAAATGATATAACATATGGGTATTTACAACTATGGGGTGATGATGTGATAAGCTTAAGTTAGATCATAATATTAGTTTTAAAGATATGGATTTACTATTATTTACTAGCATCTGTGCAATCAGTGATATATTCATTGTGAACCAGCGGCTACCACATTTTCGAAAGATGGATAGAAAACAAGCTAAAACGAAAGTGATTTTTCCTAAAATCAAGGGCCATAATTCAGGAAATTACAATTCGATATGCGCAAATATCGAATGGAACCAAGGTCTTTGGGTTATAAACTTACATTTCAAGTTTCAACAAAATCGGATAAAAATTGTGACCTCTATAGGGTCAACAACCTTGATATACCATATTTTTACGCAATTTGAGAACGAGCGGCGGCCATTTTGTCTGTCAGTTTTGGGCCAATTTTCACGAAATTCGAACTCAGCCGTCCTTAAGGTGTAACGGTGATATAATAATCCGATTTTTTAAATCGGATAAAAATAAAAAACCTCTATAGGGTCCACAAGCTAAAAACATGATTTTTCGTATAATCAGGGGCCATAATTCAGGAAGTTACGGTCCGATAAGCGCGAATATCAAAAGGAACCAAGATCTTTGGGTTATAAACTTACATTTTCAACAAAATCAGATAAAAATTGTGACCTCTATAGGGTCCACAACCTTGATATACCATATTTTTACTATATTTGAGAACGAAGGGCGGCCATTTTATTTGCAGTTTTGGGCCGATTTTCACGAAATTCGAACTCAATCGTCCTTAGGGTGTAACGGTGATATAATAATATGATTTTTTAAATCGGATAAAAAATTATGACCTCTATAGGGTCCACAAGCTAAAAACGTGATTTTGCGTACAACCAGGGGCCATAATTCAGGAAGGTACAATTCGGTATGCGCAAATATCGAAAAGAACCGAGATCTTTGGGTTATAAACTTGTATTTCAAGTTTCAACAAAATCAGATAAAGATAGGTTGCCAGGCAACGAAACATACGCCCACAGCAGCTAAATCGTCCGGGCAGTCAACAAGAGTTGTCGCATATTTTTACTTTTTTCGGTAATGAAACATTTATAATACACTAAAATCTGATTAAGAGCAACAACTCAGAAAACCATTAGAATGGTTCTGCCCCATGCTAACGTTTTGTATACAAAACTTTTAATACTGTATCATGAATTTAGCTGTTCCAAGTCATAAAAATTCATTGAAAATCAATATACTTGTTCGTCTCAAGATCTTAAACTCTGTGTATCAATCTGCAGTCAATCGGATATTAACTTTGGCCTCTAGAGCGTCCACAAGATTTTTTTGAAGTGATCAAGAGCCATAACTCTGGCAGTAATTATCAGAAATCGCTGAAAATCAATAGGCTTCTTCGTCTCATGACCTTAAACACTGTGTATAAATTTAAAGTCAATCGGATATTAACTTTGGCCTCTAGAGCGTCCACAAGATTTTTTGAAGTGGTCAAGGGCCATAACTCTGGCAGTAATTATCGGAAATCACTGAAAATCAATAGGCTTCTTCGTCTCATGACCTAAAACACTGTGTATAAATTTAAAGTCAATCAGATATTAACTTTAGCCTCTAGAGCGTCCACAAGCAATTGTGGACGCCGGACGGACGGACGGACGGACGGGGGCGACGACAATATACGACCACATTTCAATGTGGGCATATAAAAATTGTGACCTCTATAGGGTCCACAATCTTGATATACCATATTTTTACGCTATTTGAGAACGAACGGCGGCCATTTTGTCTGTCAGTTTTGGGCCGATTTTCACGAAATTCGAACTCAGACGTCCTTAGGGTTTAATGGTGATATAATAAAATGTTTTTTAAATCGGATAAAAATTATGACCTCGCGATTTTTCGTACAATCAGGGGCCATAATTCAGAAAGTTACGGTCCGTTATGCGCGAATATCAAAAGGAATCGAGATCTTTGGGTTATAAACTTACATTTCAAGTTTCAACACAATCGGATAAAAATTGTAACCTCTATAGGGTCCACAACCTTGATATACCATATTTTTACGCTATTTGTGAACGAAGGGCGGCCATTTTGTCTGTCAGTTTTGGGACGATTTTCACGAAATTCGAACCCAGCCATCTTTAGGGTGTAACGGTGATATAATAATACGGTTTTTTAAATCGGATAAAAATTATGACCTCTATAGGGTCCACAAGTTGAAAAAAAGGTTTTTCGTACAATCAGGGGCCATAATTCAGGAAGTTACGTTCCGATATGCACGAATATTGAAAGGACCCGAGATCTTTGGGTTATAAGCATACATTTGAAGTTTAAACCAAATCGGGTAAAAATTGTGACCTCTACAGTGTTCACACGCAAAAAACGTGATTTTTCGTACAATTAGGGGCCATAATCCATGAAGTTACGGTCCGATACATGCCAATATCGAAAGGAACCGAGATCTTAGGGTGATAAACCTATATTTCAAGTTTCATTGAAATCGGATAAAAATTGTGACCTGTAGACTGTTCACAAACAATTGTGGACGGACAGACAGGGGCGACGACAATATACGTCCACATGAAAATGTGGGCGAAAAATAAAATTTAGTAGATTGGCGAGCAATTGTCTCAATATAATATCAGTTGATATTTATCATTACCCAAACTCAAACCATATATTCTCAGGATGTGGACACTAAAAAACACAACACAATTTATACGGAAAACAATCACAGGTTTATAGACATACTATGACATTTCGACAGGTATTCTCTTATCGTTTTCAAGTATGTTTAAGGATTATAGATGTAGACATTGATTTTATAGGTAATAATAGATTAAAAAGGTGTAGAGGTAATTTTAATTTTATATTCTACATATGAATTATCAGTTTCATTTTCAAGCAGAAAACATAAAATCATACAATTCTACAATGATTAACATAAAGTATCTTTTATCAAATTACCTTCTGAATCTGTTATGACCTATAAAAACAATGTTGGTGTACTGAACATAAAACCACTCAAACGATCACAGTTTGTTTTGATGGCTACAGCTGGTTGTCGAAATCTGTCAAACTCTATCACCCCACAACAGCATTTTTGGGTTTCGTCTACCTTGTTATGAGTGCCATGCTGTGTTGAACTTAGTCGAAAATACAAGTAAATATGTTGATATTTCAAGAGAACTTTTTTATTCGTTGGAATACTAAAAATTGTGAATTTTATTGAACCAAGGGAAGTTTTTTTTAAAAAAACACAATTTAGTAGTTCATTCATACAGGATGAAAACTCTTTATCTATACTAAACAGCCAAAAAAACGTCAGTACGATTTCAAAATCAGAGAGGCACTTTAATCAAATCATTCTAGAAAACGACTTACTAAATGGATCAAAGCAAATTTTTGTGAAAAGTATGTTGACACATTAGTGATTAATTCATCACAATTGCAAGACATTACGAGAAGGTTTAGAGTCTGTACACAGTCTATACATCAGTATCTGGTGTGTCCACCACGAGTATCAATAACAGCAGCGCAGCGTCTGTACACAGAGTAGACCAGATGATTGGTGAACGCTATTGGCACCTGGAACAACACTCTAAGAAAAGCCTGGCGCAATCCATTGGCTGTGTTTGGTCTCAGTACGATGTTATTAAGTCTCCTCTGAATTTCATCCCAAAGATGTTCAATCGGGTTTAAGTCTAGACGAGTGCATAAAGTTGACACCGTTCTGCTGTAGAAAGACCCGAGTAACTCTGGTGGTGTGGGCACAGGCGTTGTCATGCTGGAAAACGTTTCAATGATGTGAGAAATGTGATATGACATGGGGTCTGAGAGCTTGATCGATGTAGCGCACTGCTGTGATCCCACCTCCTCTCCCTGGACCCACTCTCTGGTTCAGGGCCTCATCTGTGAACAGAACAGTTCTCCATTGCCTGTGTCGCCAGTTCTGGTGTTGTTGGGCAAACTGTAGACGTTCACATCGATGGCGAGGGGTGAGGATCGGTCCACGGTAAGATCTACGCCAATGGATGTTGTCTTTGGTGGGACGTCGGAGCACTGTTTTGTTACTGATGGGTCTTCCGTGTGTTCTCACTGTCTGACGTGCTGTCTCAGATGCCTGTGTGAAGGGATTCTGCATGTGCTATCGCACAACATGGCGGCTTTGTCGCCTTGTGGTAACCCTTGGTCTACCAGTTCGGGGGCGATCATTCATGGTGTTGGTGGCCCAAAAGCGTTACTGAAGCCTGTAGATGGTCCGAACATTGAAATGGAAGTGATTGACAATGAGATGGGCAGTGTGGCCAGCGTCAAGTCTTCCAAGCGCCTGGTTCCTCTGAGCTGTCGTGATCATGACATGCTGCTGACGTAGTGTGAATGATTCAACCAGGTATGGGGGTGCATTTTATAGGGCTGGTCCTGGTGAACAGCACGTGCAGCATGAGTTACATGAAAATCATGGAGAACACATTACCATATCAGAAGTCAGGTTGCGTTTTTGAGAACATTTCCTGGGTTCAATTCTGTGTTTGGGAAGGAGCCTTATTGCTCAGGTAAAGTTGGAGATGTGCTCACAAATATACAATAAAAACATTTGGAAAGTTTTATGCAATGCGTCTATTCAGAGTAACCTACCAACCTGACATTTCTTTTGCTGCTTAGTATAGTATTAGGTTGGCTCAGACAGTAACAAATGCTACAACAATAACTTTACCTGACTGATAAGCTGTCCTTGGAATGTGTCGGCTAATATATTTGAATGATGACTATACTCTGGTAATAATGGTACTTCTTCTTCTAATTTATCTAATAATTCACTACAAGAAAAACAATCTTTTTATCTAACTGTCTATCATAAACTATATAGTAATATTGTTTCTTTTAAATATTATTCATTTATTAGACAATATACATGTGTGACCACATTTTGCAATAGATGGATAGAGAACAAGCCAAAAACAAACGCGATTTTTTGTACAATCATGGGCAATAATCCAGAAAGTTATGGTCTGAAATGCGCAAGCCGCAATATCAAAAGGGACTGAGATCTTTCGAATATAACGATATGTTTTAAGTTTCATCAAAATTGGATAAAAATTGTGACCTCTAGAGGGTCCACAACCTTCGTATTACTTACTTTTACACAATTTGCATACAAAGAGCGGCCATTTTGTTGCGCATTTTTATTTCGATTTTAACCTTCATTATGGTGGAATGGTGATATATTTAAACGTTTTTTTGAAATCGGAAAAAAAATTTTGACCAAAATGCAATTTATTGAACAATCAGATGCCATAATTCAGGAAGTTACAATCCAATATGTGCAAATATCGAAAGGAACCAAGATCTTTGGGTTATAAATATGCATTTCAAGTTTTATCAAAATTGTGACGTCTAGAAGTAGACGGTCAACAACTTTGATATACCAGATGTTTTGTTTACACTATTAGCGTACCAGGGGCGTCCATTTTGTCCAGCAGTTTTGGTCCAAATCTTCACGAAATTCGCACTCAACCAAAATTACGGTGTAACGGTGATATATTTGAACTACTGTTCGATTTTCGAATGGCATTTAGTAATTGAACACATTAAAAATAAACACGTCTAGAGTTATGGCCCTTGTTTCACTTTATTGAACCTTGTGAACGCTCCAACGCCAAAAGTTATCACCCAATCTTTGTGAAATATATATGCATTATTTAGATTAGTGAAACAAAGAAGCCTATTGAATTTCAGCAATTTCCGTTTAATACGTCTAGATATATGGCCCTTGTTTCACTTTATTGATCCTTGTGAACGCACTAACGCCAAAAGTTATCACCCGATCTTTGTGAAATTTATATGCATGATTTAAATTAGTGAAACGAAACAGCCTATTGAATTTGAGCAATTTACAATAATTACTTCTAGAGTTATTGCCCTTGTTTCATTTTGTTAAACCTTGTTAATGCTCGATTGATGAAAGTTATCATCCGATATGTATGAAATATATATGCACTAATCAAAATAGTAAAACGAAAAAGCCTGTCAAATTTCAACAATTTCTGTAGATTACTTTCAGAGTCGAGACCCTTGTTTCAGTTTGTAGAACCTTGTAAACCCTCAAACGACAAAATTTATAATCTGATCTGTATGGAACTGTCTTTTAAAGCCCCCCAATTACCTACAAAGGAATAAATATGCGACAACCCTTGTCGACCGCTCGGACGATTTAGCTGCTGTGGATATTAACTTTAGTGTCTAGAGCGTCCACAAGATTTTTCAAAGTGATCAAGGGCCATAACTCTGACAGTAATTATCGGAATTCGCTGAAAATCAATAGGCTTCTTCGTCTCATGACCTTAAACACTGTGTATAAATTTAAAGTCAATCAGATATTAACTTTGACCTCTAGAGCGTCCACAAAATTTTTCAAAGTGATCAAGGGCCATAACTCTGGCAGTAATTATCGAAAATCGCTGAAAATCAATAGGCTTCTTCGTCTCATGACCTTAAACACTATGTATAAATTTCAAGTCAATCAGATAATTAACTTTAGCCTCTAGAGCGTCCACAAGATTTTTCAAAGTGATCAAGGGCCCTAACTCAGAAAAAAATTATCGGAAATGGTTGAAAATCAATAGGCTTCTTCGTCGCATGACCTTAAACACTATGTATACATTTAAAGTCAATCAGATATTAACTTTAACCTCTAGAGCGTCCACAATATTTTTGGAAGTGATCAAGGGCCATAACTCTGGCAGTAATTATCGAAAATCGCTGAAAATCAATAGGCTTCTTCGTCTCATGCCCTTAAATACTGTGTATAAATTTGAAGTCAATCGGATATTAACTTTGACCTCTAGAGCGTCCACAAGATTTTTGAAGTGATCAAGGGCCATAACTCTAGCAGTATTTATCGAAAATCGCTGAAAATCAATAGGCTTCTTCGTCTCATGCCCTTAAATACTGTGTATAAATTTGAAGTCAATCGGATATTAACTTTGACCTCTAGAGCGTCCACAAGATTTTTGAAGTGATCAAGGGCCATAACTCTAGCAGTATTTATCGAATATCGCTGAAAATGAATAGGCTTCTTCGTCTCATGACCTTAAACACTATGTATAAATTTAAAGTCAATCGGATATTAACTTTGACCTTTAGAGCGTCCACAAGATTTTTTGAAGTGATCAAAAGTGATAACTCTGGCAGTAATTATCGAAAATCGCAGAAAATCAATAGGCTTCTTCGTCTTATGACCTTAAACCCTGTGTATAAATTTAAAGTCAATCGGATATTAAATTTAGCCGGACAGACGGACCGATTGGGGCGACAACAATATACGACCACATTTCAATGTGGGCGTATAAAAAGGCAATTTTTCGTATAATCAGGGGCCATAATTCAGGAAGTTAAGATCCGATATGCGACAATATCGAAAGGAACCAAGATCTTTAGGTTATAAACATGTATTTCAAGTTTCATGAAAATTGAATTAAAATTGCGACCTCTACAAGGTCCACAACCATGATATACCATATTTTTACACTATTCGCATACAAACGGCGGTCATTTTGTCAGGCAATTTTCGGCCAATTTTCACGAAATTCGAACTCAACGGTGATATAATCAAACGTTTTTATACGCCCACATTTTCATGTGGACGTATATTGTCGTCGCCCCTGTTTGTCCGTCTGTCCACAATTTGTTTGTGGAGACTCTACAGGTCACAATTATTATCTGATTTCAACGAAACTTGATATATAGCTTTATCTCCCTAAGATCTCGGTTCCTTTTCAATATATGCATGCATCGGACCAAACTTCATGGATTATGGCCCCTGATTGTACGAAAAATCGCATTTTTAGCTTGTGGACACTCTAGAGGTCATAATTTTAATCTGATTTTCATGAAACTTGTAATGCATGTTTATAAACCAAAGCTCTTGGTTCCTGTCGATATTCGCACATATCAGATCGTAACTTCCTGAACTATGGCCCCTGATTGTACGAAAAATCGCGTTTTAGCTTGTGGACCCTATAGAGGTCATAATTTTTATCCGATTTGAAAAAACATATTATTATATCACCGTTACACCCTAAGGACAGCTGAGTTTGAATTTCGTAAAAATCGGCCCAAAACTGACAGACAAAATGGCCGCCGTTCGTTCTCAAATAGCGTAAAAATATCGTAAATATCAAGGTTGTGGGACCCTATAGTATAGAGGTCTCAATTTTTCTCTGATTTTGTTGAAACTTGAAATGAAAGTTTATAACCCAAAGATCTCGGTTCCTTTCGATATTTGTGCATATCGGAACGTAAAGTCCTGAATTATGGCCCCTGATTGTACGACAAATCGCGTTTTTAGCTTGTGGACCCTATAGAGATCATAATTTTTATCCGATTTAAAAAAATGTTATACCCTAAGGACCGCTGAGTTCGAATTTCGTGAAAATCGACCAAAGCTGACAGACAAAATGGCCTCCCCTCGTACTTAAATAGTGTAAAAATATGGTATATCAATGTTGTGGACCCTCTAGAGGTCACAATTTTCTTTTGATTTTCATGAAACTTGAAATGTAAGTTAATAACCCAAAGATCTCGGTTCCTTTCGATATTTGCGCATATCGTATAGTAACTTCCTGAATTATGGTGCTTGATTGTACGAAAAATCAAATTTTTAGCTTGTTGTCCTTGTAGAGGTCACAATTTTTATCTGATTTAAAAAAAATGTGTGAATATATCACCATTACACACAAAGATCATGGATCCTTTTGATAATCGCGGATACCCAAACTTAACTTCCTGGATTATTGCCCCTGATTGTTCGAAAAATGGCATTTTTAACTTGTGGATTTTCTAGAGATCACAATTTTTTTTCTGATTTTAAATATTTCACCATTCCACCATAATGAAGGTTGAATTCGAATTTCGGGAAAATCGAAATGAAACTGCCCAACAAAATGCCCGCTCTTTGTTCACAAATTGTGTAAAAGTATGCAATATGAAGGTTGTCATAATTTTTGTCCGATTCTGATGAAACTTAAATCATGTCTTTATATCCCAAAGATCTGTCCCTTTTGATATTTGCGCATTTCAGACCATAACTTTCTGGATTATTGCCCCTGATTGTACAAAAAATCAATATAAATAATACTTAGGAGTTGTATTCTCAAATCGACTCAAATGGAATCTATGTTGTACAACATTAGCACAAAAAGCTTCTAAAGCATTAAATGTCATCAAACTATGCATTTCCAAACTAGGTCACAAAAATGTTAAAACCATATTCAAACTATTTGATTCAAAGGTTTCTCCTATATTGTATTATGGGGCTGAAGTGTGGGGAACTGAATTAAGAATAGTTATCGAACAAGTCCAAAATAGATTTTGTAAGTGGTTATTATGTACTGGTGTTAAATCAACAAATGCTTTAGCAAGAGCTGAATGTGGTAGATATGAATTATACACTAATTATGTATGTAAACCCATTAAGTATTGGTTTAAATTATTGGGCATGGATAACTCCAGATTACCGAAATTGTGTTACAAAATGCTCTATGATCTGGATGTACATAATAGAATAAATTGGTGCACTAATGTACGTAAGATTTTGTTCAAATACGGATTTGGTCATGTTTGGTTTAATCAAGGTGTTGCTAATATTGCACAATTTATGCTGTGTTTTAAACAACGTGTTAGAGATGTAAGTCTTCAAGAATGGCATGATTTTATTACCCATTCCCCAAAATGTATGTTTTACAGTCTACTTAAATCTAGTATTTATTGCGAATCATACTTAAACAGCAATCTTCCACATAAGCTGAGATTTGCATTA